CAGCTTCTGTACATCCATATTATCTAGTTCTTTCTTGTGAATATGGCATATGGCGATGTGATTCAGACACCTCTGCGTAGATATAGATCTCAGCCATGTTTTCAGGCGGCGTAAAGCAGAAAAGCTTGGCTCATACTCACAACTTAACATTGGCTTACGTGTTGTATCCATGCCACGGTACGCCTCCATTGCTTCATTGAGGGAGGCTGCCTTTGAACATGTGGAGTTGAACTTTAGTTTGCTCGTACAGTATTGAGCTGGTAACGGTTTCATCAGCCTTATCAGTGACGATCTTGGTTTCCAATGCCAAATCTCGCTTTAAATCACTGTTTACTTTAGGCCCAACTGTTAGATGAGCGTCCACATACTCGTAGTGCTGCGGGCCTCTGTACTCATCTTCAGCTGTAGCTGAGTGATGTGGCGGTCCTTGACCTGCCCATCTAATGAAGGTTTACGCAGCCATGGAAGCTGGGTTGGCTCAACGGTCCTAAAATCGGATCATGGGCTATAATGGGTTTCTAAAAAGTGTTAATTTTATTGGTTTGGAGACCATGTTTATACAGAGAACGAAAAGTTAAACTAAACATTATCCATATATATATATATATATATATATATATATATATATATATATATATATATATATATATATATATATATATATATATATATATATATATATATATATATATATATATATATATATATATATATATATATATATATATATATATATATATATATATATATATATATATATATATATATATATATATATATATATATATATATTGTCGATACCATGTACTGTTAGGGGAAAAATCTGAATTACGCGAATTGTTTACCGGATGATTTTATCAGCCATCCCTCCAACCCGACTGCAGGAGGGGATGTGGCCCCCTACCCTTCCCAGGAACTATGATGATTTTGATCCTGATCTATAGACTATTTCCATTTTTCGTTTAGTGTTATCATACTTGTGAGACTCTCCATGGTGCTGTAACCATCACCGGGTGTGGTAATAGGGTGTTGTCCAGGGTCTTGTGCTCCATTAGCCTGGCAAAGGGAAATGGGAGATAATTCAGCTGGCACCAGAGGATAAATCGAACCTTAAGTCTCACGGACGTTCAAATGGTCCAATGAAGTCTGGCTCGGAAATTCAATACGGTTTCCACGGAATAATTCCTGCGGTTGGATTGAATCCCGAACCCTGAGCTTTAAGTCCCTGACATTACAGCAGCAGATGTAGGTGTTCCAGTGTACTGTACGTCCTCACGTTCACTTGTCTGAAAACTGTTCATCTCTGCTACATATTTAATACTGCAAGCCAGATGACTTCTTAACAATGGTATTAATAACCTTGTCACCGAGATGCTATCAGAAAATGCTATCAGTTTTTACGACAAATGGACAAATTAATATCTTCTGTGTCGCTGTACTCCGAGTACCAGTTTAAGCATTAAGAGCAACATTTAACCAAACATAAATACAACTGTTTTATAACAAAGTATGATTCCCCATAAAGTGTTGGTATAATGAGTAAAATTCTTACAAGTATCAGAATAACGTAGAAATTATCTGTTACTGGACTGCAATGTTAAGCTCTCCAGAACTTTGAAAATATGGGGAGAATTAAATGAAGGATATAGGAAGTAGAATAAAGCGTGGTAGTTTACCTCCGAGATTATTATAAAGTATTGGCCAGTAGGGTATCTGACGAGGATACTACAGGAAGATCTAAAAAAAATTCACATGGTCTGAAAAATGGCAGATGAAATTTAATGTGGACAAATGTAAAGTGCTTAGTCTCGGAGATGTAAACAGAGAAACCAGATATCGGAGGAACAACGCTGCGATAGAGAAACCCGACTGTGAGAAAGATTTAGGAGTAATGATAAGTAGGAATCTTAAACCAAGTCAGCAATGTATATTTGCTCGAAACAAGGCTAACAAATTACTTGGGTTCATACAAAGGAGTGTTAGTTACGAGACTAGAGAGGTCATCCTAAAACTATATCGTGCGCTTGTGAGACCTCACTTGGATTACACAGTTCAGTTCAGGTCACCGTACTACAGAATGGATATAGAATCCGTAGAAAGAATTCAGAGGAAAATGACAAGATTAATCCCGGTCATTAGTTACCTTGAGTACAGAGACTGCGTAATCCAAGTGAGGTCTCACAAGCGCAAGATATAGTTTTAGGATGACCTCTCCAGTCTTGCAACTAACACTCCTTTGTTTGAACCCAAGTACTTTATTAGCTTTGCTTCGAGCAAATACACATTGTTTACTTGGCTTAAGATTCCTAGTTATCATTACTCCTAAATCTTTCTCACCCATTACTCCTAAATCTTTCTCACTACTGTACTCCTAAATCTTATGAGGTAGCTCATGTTCTTGGAAAAATATGGCAAGTGCTCTTTAACCAACACCATAATATTAAGGAACATCAATTTAGCAGCTATCATAAGGAGTAGAGTATTTATTTTTCCCATCTCCAAAATGTGGGTCAGTGACCTGTGCCCATAAAAAAAAAAAAAAAATAAAAAAGCATACTATGCTGATCAGGCTCACCTGTCTATAGTTATTAGTGTAGTGAAGATCTCCCTACTTGAATATAGGACTCACATAAGCCATTTTCCAGTCACTGGGGACCTTTTGCTCATCCAGGCATTTACAGAACAGGATCTTCAGGGGCTCAGCAAGCTCATTGCACAACTCTCTTAGTACTCTGGGATGCACCATATCAGGTCCGGGACTCTTGTGACGAAGAAACAGCATTAACAGGACCCAAATAGAAAAGGACCTGGGTGTGTATGTTGACAACGAGCTGAAGTTCTCTGATCATTATGAGAAGAAGGTTAATCAAGTTAGTAGGTCTTATAAGAAGGGCGTTCTGATACGTAGACGGTCCATCCCCCGTTGCGCTCTTTAAAGGTTATTGTATTGCGTGTTCATGTCATGGTCACGTTGACTGCTGATCTATTTAACTAATGATTCTTATTAAACTCCACGCCCGCAAAACATGAGTGAGTTAGCGACCCTTGAGAAGACGTGTTTTTTCCCCATACAAGCTACACTTGTGTTCCCTCCCAGAGTCCCGCCTTTGTGAAGACAGTTGTCAATGCATGTTTATTCCACTTTCTCCTGGGAAGCTCAATCTTGAATTAGTCTGTGTAAATCAACTCAAGTAATTCGCCAGACCTTTGTCAACTGAGGGTCATCTTTGAATGAGTAACAGTTAGTTTGTTTGTAATTATCGTCATTGCGTGAGTAGCGATCACTGGCAACTCAGGGGTATTTATACCCGTGAGCATCACAGGGAAAGCCTTCCCTGACGCTGCTACAATGTTTCTCCAGATCCCATTGTGATTCTTGCAACCATTCAACAACGGCCCCGGATGTAGTAAATAACCAGCAGGGATCATATATGAAACGATGGCACCGATGCGGCCTGATTAATGTGCCCCACGGCTTCGTTGGGCCAGACCCCAGACCCGCCATGTGTCTGGCTACCCCACAATAACAACGGTCGTGAGCCCCAGTGTTCTACCCTGGGTTGCTCCTTGGAAGTATATGTCCACAGAGAGGGTTGTGACATGTATGTTAGGGATAATTAGATGGAAATAATTATCCCATGTTGGGTAGTGGACCCCTGTATATGCTAGTTTAATTATCAACGAGTATGTTGAGTAGGAACTGAGTTTGCACTAAGCCCAGGAGTTGAGCCTGGTAGTTATATGATTAATACAATATCTTTCCCCATTGATTGCATATTAATAAACTTGTTTTTAGAGTACTTTAGGTGTATTCCTTTCTCCCACAGTATTTTACCTTTATTTCCATCCAAGTGACTTGACACCAGAATTACCATACTCATGAGCCTAAACCATCGACCATGCTACCAAAAGAATAGGTGACGGAACTGAGTAAGAGTAAGACTAAGAGAAGTAAGTAAGATGAGGGTGGTGTAGAGATAGAGAGGGAACCCGCGCCCTCACATTCATATCTGGAAATAGCGGATGTCTGCCACACTGGAGGGCACAGTTTCAGGTTGAAGAAGCCCCAAGCTCAGAAAATTGTCAGGGTAAACCTTTTTTAAGAGAGAATTGTGAACTCTTGGAGCAATCTGCCTGTGTTGTGACGGCAGACGGCATCGAGTGCGAGTTCATTTAAGACAAGACATATTTATCACTTCACCACTTATCAGCTTACTCGCTGTCCGGGTGGATAGTACAAGAGTGTGCAAGAGTACCCGGAGGAAACTCGTGATGTTTGATAGTCATACGGGAGAACACACTTCCTATGTGTCTCAGGCCAAATAGGACCCAAACCTATGACATGTTAGTGAGAGATACGCGCCTTATTGCAGTGCCACCAACATTGGCGCTGACAAGCAGTTAATTGGCCAATCAGTGGAAAGAGGATAAAATAACTTAACCCTTTATGGGATGTGGTTTCTCTCATCTGAGAAAGATCATCTGGTGTTAGCCAGAATAAGACACCTAAAGAATACACTGCCCTCCAAAGGGTTGTGACGGCACTGAGTGTGAGCTCTTTCAAAAACCAGACTGGATAAGCACTGGAGCCGGTTCAGATACATTCAGGAGCCAGTGCATGCCCAGTACTTGCCATTGCCAACAGTGCGTAACAGAGACGTAACCGATCGCCCAAGCTGCTAACGAGCTGATCAGTGGTGAAGAGGATAAAAGTAAAAAGTGAAGATTAAACACTGTAACTTTCAAGGACAGAGTAATGTGTCTACATTTCATTGCAGTTACCCTCATAAAATATTTTTCATTTTCTATAAGAAAATAACAATGAAGCTAAAACCTAAAATCTGGTGCTTTAAAGACTTAAAAAAACTAGAGTATACCAAATATTATCATTAAATTTGTTTTATTTTATGTATTTAAATTTATTTGTATGTATTTTTCTTTATTAATTTTGTGAAATACTTGTAGAAATTATAAATTTAGTTATTTACTTCATACGAAAGTGAACGTTTGTAAACAAACCCGGCGTCTATGTAGCTGGTTGAAAATGTAAGTTATATCTAGTTATATTTACGTCATCTTCACTTAAAGTTCGTTTATTTTTTAGAAAAATGTAAGATATAAGTCAAATGATATATAATGGAGCTTAAGTAAACACAAAAGAGGATATGTAAGTGTTAAAGCCTATGAAGATTAGGCTGACGCCTCAACTTTGGTAGCCATCATCAAGGATATCTTTTAATTTTATGATGCTCATCAATGTTTGTACACTTACAGGGTTCTCAGTAGAAGCCGAAGTCGTTCAGCATCCTCAACTGGATCAGAAAAAGAGAGGAAATCTCGTGACAAGGAAAAGAAGCCTCGTAAAAAGTCATCCAGCAGTGACAGCAGCTCAAGTAGAAGGCAAGTTTTATCCTGAGGCACCACACTAATGTGGCCTTACTGGGTGGAGGACTCCTGTGGTTTAATGAGTCTTATTCAGGCTCTGTTGTTCACACTTACCGGTAGGTCTTCTACCTGAAATGTATTTTTTGCACAGACCTCACTTGGATTACGTGGTTCAGTTTTTGCCACCCTGCTGTAGGATAGGTCAGTTTCTTAGAAAGTATTCAGAGGAGGATGACAAAGAACTTAAGATTGGAGGAACCATTGAGGCTTCTGTGTGAAGAAGAGGGACAAGGAGGTATAGAGTGAGATTGTTCTTTGCTGCTCGGTGGTTTATGCTCTGGTGCCAGCCCTCAACATCGTTATTTGTTCTAACCAGACGTCGGAAACCACACCAATTACCTACTGACCAGACATTGTTGATAAGCCATGTTTGGCTCGTATAATCAGTGAGTGTCTTGACGAGTTCTTACTGTTGTGCTTTTTCTTGTAGTTCTTCAAATGCTGGACTCATGTGACATCTGTAAACAAGTGGAATTTATATTCTTGTAAAATAATAACGTACAATTTGTCACTTATACCAGCGACTGTTTCATCACCAGACCGTTAGTGGTGACGAAACGTATTTGATATTGGTGACAAACCAGGTTGGTGACGAAATGGGGCGTATCCATCTAATCTAACATAACGTACATTATATGTGTTTATGAGAGAAGTGGGACTTCTCGGAGTACCAGAAACGATTAAAGAAGGTAGTGATAGAGCGTTCAACATTTAAATAATGGTGTAATGCCCACAGCCATCCTGTCCAGAATCCCATTAAAATCGTAGTATTTTCATACACAATCCTTGTGGATCCCGGTCAAGCAGCTGATGCGGTGATGTATGAGAACACCGCTACCACCAGCAGGAGCTGGTGGATTTGGTTCATTTTTTCCACAGATGTTCTTATCATTATAGTAAGTATTTTAAAGAGGCAACATTTACTAGAACCGGTTAATATTGGCTGTCCGCAGGTTCCTGCCATGTTTACCCGAGGTTATACTCCTCACTTAAGAGTCACTTGTCTCCTCTGTTCCTCATCCTCCTTCTAGGTTAGGTTAGGTTGGTTGGTACTTTTGGTATGAGAATAGATTTTTTTTTTTTTTTTGGTGTTTTACTCAAATTTTACCTCCATTTTTTTGCAAATTTTCTGTTTGTTAAAAATGAAAATTTATAATTTTTTGCAAAAAACGCTAATTTGCACAAGAAATTGAGGTCAGATTTGAGTAAAACACCAAAAAAACGTCAAAGAAAACCCATTCTCATACTAAAACCTGACAGCAGCCAATGAACGAATATTTACCCTAGAACCTAATAAATCTGACCTAACCAATCAAAGAAACTTACTTAACTTTACCTACCTTCCTAGCCGGGCAGCAGACCCCCCCCCCCCTCCATATTAAATAGAAAATACAATTTTGATATCTGGCTCCAATGAAAGCAACTTTTTGAAGTGTTTTAGTGTAATTTTACGTTTTTTGTGGATGTGAGTTGTAAACAAACAGACGACATGCGGTGACTCGGCAGCTTTTTTGGAGGAGTATTTTTGGCAAATAATTAGTTTCTTCGTGTACTGAGCATATAGACACATCATTTTAGTGCCATATGATCAGGTTTTCACCGTGTTTTACCAAGAGATTTCCCTCGTCCATTATACCCTGCCCACTGCAAGCGATTTATGATTGTAAAAAGTCAAAACTAAAAAAATTAAAAGTTGATGCCTCTTGAAATACACCTTGTGCTTACTATAGTGATAAGAACATTTGTGGAACAAATTAACAAAATCGAACAACAACTTGTGGTAGCAATGTTCTCATAAATTATCGTTGATGGTTATTTGTCCGGGAATCCTGGTCAAATAACCACTTTGTTTAATTTTTTGGCATACTTAGACTTGTCCGTTAATCGATGTATCCAAATTAACTACCTGGATGTGATATACCAAAGGTGTCTATTGGGTGACAACACGAGGAATAACCACATTAAGCTTATAATAAAGGAAATGGCTCTAGTAAGGAAAACCAATAATTAGTTATCTCATTATAGGTGTGTAGCAAGCTTATTATTTTACTGACCAAGTTCAAATTATTTCTGTTCTATTTGGACAGTTCATCCAGAAGTTCTTCGGGATCTTCGGGTAGTTCGGACAGCTCGTCAAGCAGCAGCTCGTCCTCTCGTTCCTCGTCATCATCGTCATCTTCTTCATCGTCAAGATCAAGATCTAGAGATAAGGAAAACAAGCCAAAGTAAGTTCATAGTTCAGTTTCAGCAGTGATGTATAAAGAAGGTGTATAGGCCTTCAAACTTATGTGTGTGTTATAATCAGCTGTTACTTCTCAGACTAAAGGTTGAGAATATATGTTTGTTAGTTAAAGTGAGGACTGGGTTCCTGTTTCATGGTAAATAAACAGGTAATGTCAATGTCATCACTAAGTTCAAGTAATTGTCTGCAACCAATAAAACCAGGGATTCTGGACCTGGAAAAAATGTTTGTGACTGATGACACTACTCTCACACTCATAGACTTTCAATGGAGGAAATTGCATCACAGTGTGAAAACAAGACTCAGACACACAACAACTTAGGGTAGAGGTCGCTGAGTATCAAGATGCCACAAGAGAAAATCCTTATAGTGATCTTTCTGACCTAGCTCTAACTGTGCTGTCACTATCACATTCCACCAGTGTTCAGTCAGATGAACTTCATAAAGTCAAAGCTTCGTAACAGAATGAGTGTTGTAACTGTGAAAGCAATCTTAACCATTAAATATGGCCTATAGCAACTTGGAAAATGCTGTCATAACTATGAGTTGCCTGAGCATGTCATAAGAAACATTGGTACACTGGAGGTATACATAAGAAATTATCACCTTATATAGCGACATTCGGTCAAGACGAGTTGGCAAGTCTGCTCAGAGTCCAACACATGGCAGTTCTCAAAGTCTTGTGTGGCGGTTGCTATTCTGGCTGTCGAATCTTGATAACGTTTCTGTTTTAGTGGTGCTGGCTCTCCAGCCTGCTCCCTCTTCAACACTTCAAGAAACTTAATAATATTTGGATGGAATGAAGTTATGTTTGCTAGCACATGGTTATGCCATCCTTCTAAGGCATTGTAGGTGTGAGGTAAGTCTTCGGCAACATGATCATACATATTCTACTTGCTGACAGGGAAACGTGGAGCTCATCTGTCATATTGACGTTGTCTGCCAATGTATGTATCTTTGAATTGGTGTGTGACAGGATCAGCTTCGGGTGGCATATTCTCTTGCAGCATCTCAAATGTGTCAACCATTTCATCTTGTGGGATGAAGGCCAGAACTGGTAACATTTAAAATTTTGGGGCAAAGTCAGCATCAACTTCATATTCCATGTAATCCCTCAGATTGTACCTTGCGATATATGTTTTGTGATAAGTGGTAGAAATATTCCTTGACAGCTGTGTTAGGGAAGACCTCTTCAATGGCACTCCTGGCAGCTTGTTCAATTTTGATGAGAATGGTCTTTGGGTTGAGTAAATGTCAGTACAGATTCACTGGCAATGGGGGGCAGTTGCCCAAGTCACAATGTCCTGTGGGGGCAGTTGTCCTGATACTGTTGACAGCTGCTGGATTTTTGGAACTTAGTAAATAAATTATTTTGTAACACGGATAGTACTGTACTGTGTGGGCAGTCAAGGTAAAATAATAGTGACTGATCTAAGGAAGTTATAACAAGTACCTTTTTTTATCACACATGGTGGAAATTTTCATATTTGGTAAATGGTCACAAAACTTCAGTCTATGAAACTACAAAGTGATACCCAGGCTCATTTTAGTCATAAAAGGTGTTAGTTTTAGAGAAATTTATGTCGAATATAGTTGGGGGTGCAACCTAACTCAATTTTCAGATCACTGGCTCCCAGATTATAACGAGTTCCCTCTCATTTCAAACCTTTTTGTACTACTGTACTATATTGTGATGGGTAAATAAATGTAGATCCAATGTAGTACCTGATCAAGTACCTGTACTGACTTAACCATGTTCCTGTGTTCATTTGCATCTCTTTTGTCTTTTGCACAATAAATATTGTACCTGTATGAGTAACAGTGACTCGTGCTATATAAAATTGATTGAACACTGCTACCAGTATTTACACCACAGATTGAGCCTGCTTGTCCCCTTCTCCTGAAATAGTTGTACAAGAAGTCCAGAGTGATATATACTATAGTCTACCTGAATGCATGTGTTGAATTCTTGCTTTTTATAAAACAACTACAGTGGGGTATGCTATAACAAATCTAATTGGTTCTAGAACCTTGTTCGTTATAGCATTCGTTCGTTATAGGATTAATCCGTTCCAGGCCCCCAAATACAACCACTTAACACTGAAAATATAATATAAAATTGTAAAAATTGTAAAAAAGTGCATAAATATGCATCTAAACCCCTGAAATAAAGAATATCATTAATACTTGTAATAAAAAACAATAAATTAGTAAAAAAAATTTAAATAATGTTCGTCGTAGGAGTTTCGTTCGTTATAGCATTCTCAATTTTATAGGTAAAACCGTTCATTATAGGAACATTAGTAGTAGGATCCGTTCGTTATAGCATACCCCACTGTATAGTGCGTTTTTTCCCAGGTGAGAAAATATGCCCCGCCCCCTCAGCAAGAGTTACAGCTGATTGGTTGTTTCAAACTTGTCCGATTTCATCCTGAAGTAATGATGCATTTCTAAATGAGTTTACTCATAATCGTTGGGATGACCGTTTCTGGCGAGAAAGATATTTAGCTAAATTTTATAAAATACTTTCATTCATTATTTCAATCATAAGTAAGTAGGAAGTTTATCAGATGTATAATACATGAATATTAACTGGTGGCAAATTCACGCTTTTGGAGGATACATTAATATTTACTTATTTTTACCCACAATAAGGCATACTAAGACAAATTACGTATCAGTTACACTACATAATGCAAAAACTAACATTTTAAAATATCAGAATCACATTGAAATACTTACATGGCCGTCAGCAGAAGCAGAAAATATGACTGCGAACAGCTTCATGCATGTATCTTTATAAAATTTAGCTAAATATCTTTCTCGCCAGAAACGGTCAACCCAACGATTATGAATAAACTCATTTAGAAATGCATCATTGCTTCAGTACGAAATTGGACAGGTTTGAAACAGTCGCTCATCTGTAACTCTTGAGGAGGGGGTGAGGCATATTTTCTCAGCTGGGAAAAACAACCAATAATTGTTGTCATGTACAACTGTTATATTGTATTTGGTTTACTTGAAGTGTTTTAACACATATCTTGTTTTTATTATATAGGGAAAAGGAGAAGGACAAAGACAAGAAGGATGATTCAAGGTGAGTGTTGTGTGCATCTCTGTAGTCAGCACCATGTAGGGTTCCCAGTGGTCCTGCCAAATGAAGGAAAGAAATATTTTCAAAATTGGAGAAATGTTAAGCAAATATGAAATGTCTTTAAAAAATCTGAAAAAATTTTATTAAATCATTTTCATATAGTATTTCTTCAGTAGTGTATTATTTTGGGTTGTGGAAATAATTGAGACAGCGTGAAAGATGTCAATATTAAGATGGGCTCATAAATGACAGCTTCTTTGAAAACACTGGAGTATGACTCAGAGATCGATCAATCAGAGTGTCGTCCTCATATCTGAGGGTTGGTGACAACAGTCTGTTACGAGTTGGGGATTTAGAATATAGTTAAAAGTCTACCCAGATCCCAACAGGCAACAACAATAAAAAAACAAAGACAATCGGACTATAAAAGGGTAGACAAAGGATGCGAGTTTGTGTTGTGTATAATAAAGTACCATAAATTCCTTAACAAAATATTCAGCTTTCTATAATTTACCCTTAACCATACTTAACCTAAACATTAACAGTATATACATATTTATACAACATACAATAATCGTGAAGCAAGGTGGAGGTGGGAGGCAATATGAGATAACAAATACTTAAGTGCGGAGCTGAGATGGCCGACGAGTAAGGCTGAGTATTGTAGAAGACGGTAGGTAGTCACCGTGCCGTAGGTTTCCAGGATAGGTGATCCTGTGGTCACTTCCCAGAGTGAACTGAACTCTCCTCGAACTGGAGCTGACGAAGAAGACTTTGAGGAGGTGACGCAACAACCAGGATATGGAGAAGGGAAACCCCGGAGTGGTAACTAAGAGTAGTCATACTCGGGTTTCGTCCCTAGATGGCGTTGCTCGTGGTGCTGGGTAGGTAGATCAGGACAATAGATGGCGTGGTTCGTAGTGCTGGGTAGGTAGATCATGACAATTGATGACGTGGTTCGTAACAAGTCCTTCACTCTAACTGTTCTCGGGCTTTTTTTACAAATCCTCCGAGGGCTCGTTTACACGATCAGTTACCACGTATGGTGGTCGCGCACGCCTCGGATCAGTGGCGAAGCATGGGGTCGGAGCAGGGTACCGACCACTGTTTAGTGGACGGCGCGTTTACACGGAACTGCCACACCGTCGTTACCGGTCAGTGTGTGGCAGACTGCTGGGCAAGAGGTTCGTGGCTCCCAGACAGACGAGTCGGCGAAGGACGGCCGCACTGTTGTGTGTTTTGGCCGCCGGGATGATACTGAAGAAAAAAACAATAAAACGGACTGTGTGGTGAAAAACTGGTTAAGGAACAAGTCTTGTGGTACTTATAACCAAATCTTTGATGAAATACAGCGTGAGCTATAAGTGGCAGGGACCCACGTAGGTGACCACGCAACTGTTAGGCTCCCACACGTAACTGCCCGGGAAGGGTTGGTGGTTCAGTGTTGCCGTCTACACGATCACTGCCCGAGCACGGCTTCGAAAACATGCTCCGAGACTGTTGGTGTAAACGAGCCCTAAGGTCTTGTATCTCTTTGGGGATCCAGTTTTTAATTTCATCCATCCATCCCAGTCTCTGCCTTCCCTTGGCTCTCCTACCCTCATATTTGTCCATTAATTTTTATGTTATTATTCTCCCATCTTTTTCTGTACGTTTCAAGTATTTCTCTTGAAGTTTTTGCTAATCTTATTACTTATTCATTTGTTTTCCTGTCAGTGTAACTTATTCTTAACATTTGCCCATAACACCACACTTCAAAGGCCTCCAACCTCTTTCTGACCCATACATCAGTCCTTGCCACATACAGTCAGAGCATGCAGTACGATACGGTATGAAATTACGGTACGGTATTTTTCCTTTGGTGCGAATTACGATAAATCAATTGTGCTATCTTGAACTGCATGCTCTGCATACAGTGTAGCCTTTCAGCAGCCTTTTTCTGAAATTGAAGTTAATGTTCCCCTTTGAGATAATTAAATGGTATTTTGCTTGACCTATTTTTTTTATGATTTCCTTTGCACTTCTTCCATCACAGCTAATGTTATTTTCAAAATACACAAACATTTTCCACCTGTTTAAGTTCCCTGTTGTCTACCATAAATTTTATCTTAGGATTTGTTTCCAATTTTGAAAGAACCATAACTTTAGTCATTACAGCAGTAACTCTTAAACAATAATTTTCACCTTTTACCATTATTCTGTTAACCAGTTTTTATAATGCCTCTTCACTATCTGTGATAAGACCAGTATCATCAACATAGCGTATATTGGATATTACTTTACCATTATCTTTTATTCCTTCATTGTCACTCACAACTTCTTTTATTAAGACTTATTAATATATATTATACAATGTTGGAGACAGAACACAGCCTTGTCTTACTCCCTGTCTAACTGTGAACCAACTACGGTACAGTCATTCCCCGACTTACGACGGGGTTAGGGACCGACGACCAGGTCGTAAGTCGAATTGGCCGTAAGTCAAAAATGCGATCACTAACGTTGGGACTTGGAAATACGTAATTTGAAGAAAAAAATTGTATGACTGCGGCAGTCGTAAGTTGAGGAGTACCTGTAGTGAGTTCATTATTTACTAACACTGCAGCCTCCTGTTGCCAGTAAAGATTCTTTAACCCGATAACTGCAGTAGAGTGACTCTCCAATCAACCCCCTCCCCCCCTGGTGCGCAAAAAACATATATTGATGTGGAAACCAAATGTGAGAATCTTACTTACCTTAATTTGGCCTCCAGTCTCTCATAGGGCAGAAAAGGGGCTCTCATCTCTATTGTTCACCCCAACATTTGACTTATTTGACAAGTTCACTAAAAGTAAATATAGTTGAGGCTTTCAACATCACTCTCAATGTTTTAGCTATAAGTTGGTACAGTATATATATCTTATGGTAACACATACGATTTCATTCGTAATTTTAAATAAACAGGTGCTCCTCTACTTAAGAATGTTCAACTTACAAACTCTCAGAGATACAAACATCATCACTGAGGGGGTTACCTGCCAGAACAGGTGTTTAATGTGGATGAGACTGGATTATTTTGAAGGAAATTCCAGATAGAACAAACATTACCTAAGGGGAGAAGAGTGAGCCAGGTTTTAAGACTGTATTAAAGGGTATAGCTGTACTAAATATCCATAATCTTTTCATTTTTTACAATATGTTTGGTATTTACTATACAAGAGTAAAGTTGGACTTACAAACAAGCCTCAGGAACGTAACTCGTTCGTAAGTAGAGGAGCACTTGTACTGTATATACAACATCAACATGAGATTTCCTAAGGGTTCTTAAATGGAGGATAGAGAAAATATTTGTCTCAGTCGTGGGACTCAAGAAACTGGCGAGTGTAAACATCCCATACTTGATCCAGCGAGATATAAATTTTTTTGCTCGCTGCATTCAAAACTCTATGAATTCCAGAATGTATATCGCACTCCTTCGTTTATGATTCACGAATGTGTGTCGCAGTTATTGGGTTAAAATTATAATATCTCCGTCGTTAATGCCTATTTTTTCCAAAATATCTGTTTGTTTATTGTGCTTTTCCTTATCAAAGCAGATATACAAATTTCTTTGGACTTTTAAAGCCCTTTCACTCAAAATTCTCAAAAAAATATACAGGGTGTCCAATGGATTACCCTGATTAAAGCAAGAGAGCATAGTGCTTTTAGTGTAATCATTTATGGACACCCTGTAGCTTTAGTTCCCTTTCCCTCTTCAAAACCATTTTGCTCTTCAGGTAACTCACTGTATATTCTAAATTTGATTCAACTTGTAGCTTAGACTGTTTATGTCTGGATGTTAGATATTGTTTACAGTACAGAACACTTCTACAGTAGTGTTTGTTGATGGTTTTCAACTTTATTGTCTGTAAACTTAGCAGTGCATTACAAGTATCTTGCTTACCTTCATTATACTGTATAGGAGAAAGCCTCAAGTGATTGGAGATTGTCTTTCCATGAAACATGCATGTGACGTGTGTGATTGGTTGATGTGTAAGCAAAAACCTGTGATTCTTTTTGTATAAATTTCTTACGTACAGTTAGTAAATGGTTTATATATTTTTGCTCTAACACCTGCTCTTTTACAGGAAGGGTAAGTCACCATTGTGAAAAGTTTTCAGTTTATATTTTTTTCTTTTCCCGTCTTTACAGATCTACATTTAAGGCTGGACCGGATAAGAGCCGAAGCCAAAGTCACGAGAAAAAAACAAAGCCTAAAAAGCCCTCAAAGTCTCGTTCCAGGTTAGTCTTTCTCTCTCTCTCTCATCTACTGTAGTGTAGTTGCTATATATTATGGATTTTAGGTATTTCAGTAGCATACAAGCCCTCACATAGATTACTGTCCCCAACAATGCACCTAATTAATGGCGGTCGTCTTGGTCACCAATCGATCCCAACCACCTTAATCGGGTTGATCAGCTTTCAGAGCAGGACTGGAAAAAAAATTGGGTTCATTTTATTTTATTTTATTTTTATTTTTTTCTCTAACAACCCTTACAAGTACCTTATAACAACTGTTCTCTGGAAAATTACGCCCACATAATAGATTGGGACCATCCTCCGGAGAACATGGACGGGAATAATACACATTCTAGTCATGGTGACCACATGTACAGTATGGCTGGCCTGATGAGTGTTATTAACTGACTCGGTGGAGGAGGGAAGCACTCAGCACTTCAGATAATAAATTTTGTGAAATGCCTTCTGGAAGTGGGAGAAAAGGTCCCCCGAGTGGGATGAAGTAGATTGGTAGAAAACTATGAAATCAGGGTGGCCTGTAAATACTGCAATTTATCAATTACTGCAGTTGAAACATTTAACGAATCACTGCACATCTCGGCAAATGTTGAAAGAGAAACGGACACAACAGAGAAAAGGCTGGTGAAGATGTAGAAATACTAGGAAGTGAAGTACAGTGGTCCCTCGGTTAATGAGCGCCTCGGTTAACGAGTTACCTTCCATAAGATTCTTATCTTCGGTTTACGAGCAATCCCTCGATTAACGAGTTTCTTGCGAGCCAACCTCCACATGTTTTAGCTTGCATTTGGCGGTCCTTCAGCTGTAGTATTACCGTAGTCCGCCAATATAGTATTCGGTTCTAGGGCTTAAATTCCTTACCTTTTTAGTAAATATCAAGAAGTTTATACTATTCAATCATATAAAAGTTTAATATTAAATTTTTTACTCATTTTAACAATTATTGAACATAATTGAAGGTAAAGTGACTAGTTTGTGGTGCGCCATCCAGCCTGCCATCACAGCATACAGCCGTCAGTCTTTGTGTCTTTTCAGTGGAGGTAACATCGTGCTTGAGACTCTCTTCAACTGAACGCTTTTTTCTGTGTTTCCAAGCAAATTATTGGTCATTTTGAAATTTATTTTACATATTGACAATATATAATGCAGTGCAGTGTTGATTTAAAGAAAATAATCTTGAATTACACCAAGAGAACTAAAAATTTATGGGTGAAATGGCGCCATGGAGTGACTTCTCTTCCACCCCAATGCCTTCTCTTCTCCCTTCTCCTCCACCCCCATTCTAATTCCCATCATCATCATCATCCAGGAGCCTTCTACATACACACCTCAAAGTAAGTGTACTTTCCTACCTTTTTTGTTGAATTAAGGCAATTTTCGGTGAGCTGGAACCAATTGCCCAAAAGCCCATTGAAACAATGGTTTCGGTTAACGAGCAACCTTCTAGAACGGATTGTGCTCGTTAACCGAGGGACCACTGTACCTATTGCATGAACAAGCAAGGATTTGCATTTCCTTGAATCAGCCACATCTCTTGTGACTGTAGGCTGGGACTGTGAGACAGCACCAAGATGCTGCAGGGCCAGTGATGTAAGTGATTAACAGCTGCTCCTCAACTGCACCTATATCAACATCTAGCCAGTTGTCCTCGCACTCGGCCACAAAAGTGAAAAGACAGAAGTTAGTGGACAGCTTTGCAATTCGAATAAGTGCTGTTTTTTTTTTGTTTTTTTTATGAGCAGTGACTTTTCCCACCTTCAAATTAGCAATGGTGTTTAATTTCTCCAGTACACTTGCTTGTTGTTGTTTCTTTGTGATAATTAGCAAATGGCAAAATTAAAAAAAAAATTTTGCCTTTTTTTCCAGCTCCCGTTCAGCATAGCTTGACCACAGACCATGCTTTGATCCTGCTTCTGTCTTCCTTATACAGTATTTTGTTTTTTACTTTTATTTTCTCTGGGGGGGATCTTCTCTACCCCAACCCTGACTGTGCAGGGTTTAACCAATAGCTTGTGTTGACATCAAACAGGGTTTATGTTTAGATAACCTCTTTTTTCATATGCCATCAACTTTTGGAGTTCATCATCTTATTTATTTATATCCTGTTTATCTTTGTATATGAAATTAAATATAACCTGTGGAATGTAACACTTATGATACACTCAAATGTAAGAGCCTTGAGTCACAGTTGTGATACAGACCATCAGGTGGCTCCTTTAACTATTTCTCAAGGATTTTATTTTTTACGATTATTATTTTCAGCTTCAACAAGTTAAAGATTTTAAGTGTTACTAGGAGTTATAAATTTATTCAAGATGATGACTGAATGTTTTCAAATTATATAAACTGCTGACTCTTGAAGAAATGTTATTGAAATGAGCAGGTGTTTTAGTTAGTCCATATTCTGCTGATTTGTGCAGGCCAGTCAGATCCCACTTGATTACTAAGTCATAATTATTAGGAATACATCAAGTAAAATTAAAGCAAAACAGTTTAAAGGAATGTTTGCTATACATTCAGTATATTGCAATAGTTTGTTATACATAAACTATGGCATTATAACAGTACATTACGCCCGGAAAATTCGCGGATTTTTATTTGGCGGTCCTCTGTCATTCACAGATGGCACTCTTGATGTACCCAAGGATGTCTGTGGATAGTTTAAAAGTTGCTGTCATTTTCACAGCTGGGACAGGGAGACATTTGTTCGAGAGAGAGAGTACCTAATTTCCTTTACCTGTTTTGTATATTTGTGGGTGTTTCTGTGTGTAGACACTACACACAAAACACATACAAATCAATAATAATGAGAAAATCCTCTCACATATAATCAGAAGCAAATGTATATTAATAATGTTGAGTCTACCCTCAAGTCTACTCCGTGCTTTGTTATTAATAAAGCACAGAGTAGACTTGAGGGAAGACTCATTTTTAATATACATTTGTTTCTGATTATTTGTGAGAGGATTTTCCCAGTACTATTGATTTGTGTGTGTTTTGTGTGTGTGTCAACACACACAAAACACACACACACACACACACATATATATATATACAGTAGTACCCCGATTTACGCGGTCAATTGAACCCACGGGGTACCGCGGAAAGTGAAAACCGCTTAAAGTGAACAACAGAACATATGGGATTAATTCCAATAGAGACTGGCCCGATCCCCAAACTCCACTTTTTCCGACACAATACCTATGTTGTAGTAAAAATAACATCTTAATTTTATTATGGTACAGGCACACAATTAATATTTAAGAGAAATACAATTGCCAGGCTAATGTCCATTCAAATAATGGACTCATATCCCCCCCCCTCTTCCCAGCTCACTAGTTCCTACCTTTCTGAGAAATGTTTGGGTGAAAACACTAGATTTTAACGTTTAGTAATAAATAATACCTCAGACTAAAGTTAGGATAATATAATTGACATTTCTGGATTCCTTGCAGGTCAGGGAATATTTTGAATGTAAACTTCATATATTTTGCACAAACGATAAAATATTTGCTTTGTGTAAACCAAATTATTACATTAGATCTAAAATCTGTATGTCTAATGCAAAATCTATGATATTTATATTCAAAATGATCATCATATTGTAAGAATTCCAGCAATGTAAATTATATTCTGGCCGGGTAATTTGTATGAATTTTATGAGCTAAATAAAAAAAATAAATATTATACTTCACCGTGTATATGAGTAGATGCACCGCGGAAAGTGAAAGTCCGGTCTGGCAAGGTACCGCGTAAATGAGAAATCGCGGAAAGTGAAACCGTGTAAAGCGGGGTAATACTGTGTGTGTGTGTGTGTGTGTGTATATATATATATATATATATATATATATATATATATATATATATATATATATATATATATATATATATATATATATATATATATATATATATATATATACACATGCAAAAATCACTCAATTTACAACAAAAGAAGAAAAAGAATCACAAAATACAGTAAATGAAAGTAAAAAAAATCAGGTTAATAAAATACTGTAAATTCCAAGTTTAACCCCCGTTCGTATTGGCGGGCGTTCATATGTCGGGGACCCCCTGTATTGTGAAGAGCAGTCATGATAAATATTCTACAGATTCAGGTGTTTACTGCCATGGATGCTCTTTGAGTCCTACTATGGTGGCAGAGGAAAGAAGTGTGCTCCATAAATATGATACTGTAGTTCTATAATTGTTTTGTAAACTTAATTGGATCAGCTACTTCAATGCTTTACCACAGTTGTCAACATCATATTAGTTTTAATTCAGTGGAGAATGTCCTGGTAAAGTTAAAAGGAAATTAATGGTTTTATTCTCACAGGTCTGGATCCCCTCGTCCACGGAGAAAGCCTCGCTCTCCCACACCAAGACCCACAAGAATCCACGTTGGTCGTCTGACTCGTAACATTAATAGGGACCATCTTCATGAAATTTTTGCTGTGTATGGATCAGTCAAAAGTGTTGATCTCCCAATGTATGACATGTAAGTTTTTCTTGGTTGTACTGTGACAATATTTAAGATTTATTCTTATGAATTGCCATTACAGTTACTTGCAGCTCCTTTTTTTTTCCTTGCTTTAATATACTGTGTGAGCAAAACCCTGCATACAGTAGAACGTCGATATAACACGAGATACTTTCCAAGAGAGGTCGCGTTTAACCGAATTCACGCTAAATCGAAGTGTTGTTTCAATGGAATAATTTTGTTTGGTACTTGAGAGAATCACAAAATACTAAAAAGACTGAGAGTCTACCCAGATGCACCTCAGCCCATCTCCTAGAATAAACAAAACATTGTATTTTGAAGTATTATGCTAAAACAAACACTCATAAATCAACACAGTTAAAATTGCAGGATGCGAAATGGTCTGTTTACTAGCAATCAGCTGATGTGAGAGTGTGGTCACACTGGCGCCGCACACCACCCACCTCTTGTCTGACTCACCTATCACTTTCACTTTCCTCTCAACTTATTTTTTAATTACTTTATGCTGTCAAAAAGAGATTTTCACTCAACTTTAGTTAGGCAGTTCATCCTCTGAAGATGCAGACCCCAACTTGACCAGCCCATCATCCACTTCACTGTCCAAATTGGCACCCCACACTTGAAGCACCATTTTCTCACTGCAGTAATTCCAGCACCTTGATTTTCTGCTCCCGTGTAATTGCTTGCCTTGATTTCTTGGTTTTTGGGGTAGTTAATGATGTAGTAGCTGGCCTCTTGGACATAGTGCCGATGGTTGATACACGTGATAGAAGGAGATAGTGTCACACAGTATGTCCGTTCACTAGAGCATCAGTGCGAGAACTGAGGATGTGGGAGGGTGGCGGCCAGCCTTGTAATGTGCCCAGAGACGTGTCTGGCGGTAAACATTTGGTAAGAAACTTTAATAGTGTGTATTTCCATATGATGCGCCTGATTGACTCGCATAAAATAGGAAAGATTCACTTAAAATTAATACATTGTCTTTAATTGTGGGTGTTGCTTTAAATCAACAATTTTAAATTGAATCCCTTTAAATTGACATTCTACTGTATCATCATTCATCTACAAGCACAATGTGAAGACAAGTATCTTGTCACTCACACCACTACACACAGTCAATAAGCCAGTTGCCTGATTGTCCAACTTTTCTTTATTTACTCACATGTAATGTGTGTAAAATTAAATAAGACTATTATTCTGTATTCTTAAATTTTGAAAGAGTTATATAATTAGACAATGTGAATGGTAGCATGCAGGTACAATACTTATTATTTATGTCTTATTTTTCAGGCGTAACAATTCTTCACTGAACCGTGGTTATGGATATATTGACTTTGAGAAACCAGAGGATGCAGAGAATGCCATGAAGCACATGGATGGTGGTCAGATAGATGGTCAAGAGATCACAGCTGCTCCAGTGTTAATACCACGCCAGTTGCCTCCACGGCGACGCTCTCCACTCCCCATGCCCCCTCGGCGAGGTCCTCCACCTCGTTGGGGGCGCTCACCACCGCGGTACAATATGTAAGTACCCATATATTCATTTATCTGCTTGTGTGTGTGTGTGTATCCCTGCGAATATGATGATCTAGAAAAAATTATATGAATTTCAATGAAAGTTGTTACATAAGTGTAATGCAATAAGATCTTGGACAAATATGATTATCAGTATTTGCTCTCCAAATTTTCAGAAATAATGGTGATGTGGACCTTAGTCCTTTGTTGGCAACTCACCTTTCACATTATGGAATAAATTTCTGAAGATTAAGCTTCATAGTTTGTTTACAATATTTATAGTGAACGTCGAGAATCATTTTTAACTTAAATACAGTAGGCAGCTACCAAACAGGGAGGTACTACCGCCTAGGAAGATATTGGAAGCATAATATGTTGTTTAATGGTAGACCCTGCTGCCATATGGCATCACAAAAATTGTGACCAAGTCCCAGGTTGCTGATCTGACTTTCTGCCTCATTTACACACAATTGTAGGGTCTCAATTGTATCTCTTACGATTGACAACACAACATACAAACAGTATATTGTTTCTCACTTTTGATAATTTTTCATTTTTGTATTTCTTTATGGTTCATAATTATTATTATTATCATTTTTTTTTTTTATAAATTTTATTTACAATGAATTATTATTATTAGTGTTATTATTATTATTATTATTATTACAGTGGTCCCTCGGCTAACGAGCACAATCCGTTCCAGCAGGTTGCTCGTTAACCGAAAATCTCGTTAACCGAAACCATTGTTTCAATGGGTTTTTGGGTAATTGGTTCCAGCTCACCGAAAATTGCCTAAATTCAACAAAAATTTTAGAAATGGACACTTACTTTGAGGTGTGTATGTAGAAGGCTCCTGGATGATGATGATGATGTGAATTTGAAGTGGGAGGTGGAGGAGAAGGGAGAAGAGAAGGAAGTGGAGGTGGAGGAGAAGCATTTTACTGCTTCTTGGAAGGTGGGTCACCTTCCATGAAAATGTCAGGAACCTCTGGACTGACAGATTCTCCACCATGAACATCCTCCCTCCTTCTTGAAGTGGAAGGCAGAGGGATAGCATCTTGTTCCCTCAGCCTTTTACTGAAGAAAGTGTCAATTGTGGTCTGTGGGGCATCTCTCCTCCTCACCATTAACTTATGTTTAAAGAAGGAGACCATTGAGTCCTCAACATGACACAAAGTTAGTTCAGTTTTTTCCACATCTGGGTGCTTTGAAGCCAGTTCCCTCAACTTCTCCCAGTGGTAAATCACATCTAGAACTCTTTAGTTGACATATTGTCATCACTTTCCTTATCAGCACTAGCAGCTTCACCATGCCAAACAACACTGAAAATGTCACTTCTTTTCTTAAATTTTTCAAACCAGCCTTTGCTGGCCCGAAAATCTTCAAATTCTGTGCCTGAAGAACCAGGTTGATCTGTCTTTAAATATTCGTATATCTCCCTGGCTCTTTCACAAATGAATTCAGTAGAAACTGAACCACCTTTCATCTGCTTTTCCCTAATCCAGATGAGAAGTAACCTCTCAGTTTCTGCAATTAGGGATCTACTTTTAAACACTGGTAGATTTGTCTCTCACTTTCACTTCTTTAAATTTCTCTTTCTGTGCAAGAATTCTCGACACAGTTGATGTCGACATGCCATATTCTTTGCATAGTGCATTTGTTCTAATGCCTTGTTCATGTTTTCTTATAATTTCTTGCTTGGTTTGGATTGAAATCGCTTTTCTTGATCTCTTAGGCCCCATGCTGGATTCAAACAATGTCAACACGTGATCTTTTAGGTATAAACTTGCTGTAAATAAAGAATATTTTCTTTAAAATAACACTGCACTGCGCTATATATTGTCAATATGTAAAATAGATTTCAAAATGACCAATAATTTGCTTGGAAACACAGAAAAAAGCGTTTAGTTGAAGAGAGTCTCAAGCAAGATGTTACCTCCACTGAAAACAGAGAGAGACTAGCGCTTGTTTGCTGTGTTAAGAGGCTGGATGGCGCGCATAAAACTAGTCACTTTACCTTCAATTATGTTCAATAATTGTTAAAATGACTAAAAAAATTAATATTAAACTTTTAAAATTATTGAATAGTATAAACTTCTTGATATTTACTAAAATAGTAAGGAATTTAAGCCCTAGAACCGATTACTGTATTGGCGGACTAATACTACAGCTGGTTGACCGCCAAGTGCAAGCGAAAACTTGTTGAGGTCGGCTCGTAAGAAACTCATTAACCGAGGGATTGCTCGTTAACCGAAGTTAAGAATCTTATGGGAGGTAACTTGTTAACCGAGGATTACTGTATAATTATTATTACTACTACTACTACTACTACATTCCCCGGCCCTGATGTGGGTCAGTGACCTGTGCCCAGGTGGGCTAATTCCTGTTTAAAAAATATTATCTTTAAATTACATAATTATATTAAAAGAAAAATTATATCTGGCTGAGTAGATTATATGTAGCATACTGTATACGGTACTCGGTACTTTTCCCAGGCTAGTGCCGGCCACAAGGACATGAAAAATCACTTAGCTGGGCTGCCAGGTACTGCTAATCTACACTGTCTGATTTGTATATTATTTTTTATCACTTTATTACAGGATGCGCCGCCGATCACCACCACCTATGAGACGCCGTTCACCACCCCGACGAAGATCACCTCGTTCACGCTCAAGAACTCCTCCCAGACGCAGGAGATATTCACGCTCTTCCTCCTCCTCATCACGTTGAATCTTTACGTTAACTGCAACAAAGATTTTCGTTAGCACGTAAAGATGTCATTACTTTCACGGATATACTTTTTCATATTTTACTCAGGACTTTTCTGTTTTCCTGGGGAATAATTATTTTTTACATGCCCATAAGATGACTGTTTTTTGTGTTTTTCTTCACATACTTAAATATTTAATTTAGGATTATCCCCACATGCAATCTTTTCATTTAATTTTGAAACAGATGGCTAGTAACTATTTTTTCTGAAGACTGGAAGTAGATGACTTAGACAATAGTTTGACAGCTGGCTGCCTGAAAATGAGAAGGTTGATATGTGTGTGGCTCAGTTTCATGAACATATTTGTTCTAGGGAGAAGTCCTGTTTATGAGGAGGCAAATGAGACATTACAAATAAATTTAAATATGTAAGGAGTTAGTGTTCCTTGATTGTGATTTATTTATAATTTTGAGAGTAAATTATTGTTTTGGCATTGTTTTAAGTTTTTCTTGTATCAGTAAGGTATTTTAATGAATATTTCTTAAGTGCTGTACTTGACTGTACTGTACTTTGTTAATGTATGTAGGTACCTGTTTCATCCTTCATAGGAATGGATGTGAAATATCTTTTGATTCTATTTTAAATCATTATTTGTGTGTTTAGGACTAGTAAATTCATTATAAATAAAATTAAAACTGAAATGTATCTGCCATTACATTTTGTAAATAGTAACATTCTTAAAATTTTGACATGTAAAATAAAATAAAGATTTCATTTCTACATTGATTTATTTTTATCTGTTGCTATCTGAATAAAACGGATACCAAGAATTATCAAATAGTGCTTGAAAGTAAGTGAGAGTCAAGAGCACTGGCTCTAGGAAAAGTATGGAAAAGTATAGAATAGTATGAAGTCTGGAAAACTTTCCAGACCAGTGAGAGCTGTGCATGTGTCTGTCATCATCATCAACGTTTTATGGCCATTTTCATGCTTGTGTAGGTTAACCGTGTATTACCTGATGGCAGCTCACCATACTGCATGGTCTCTGGCATCCTCTTGTCAGGTTCTAAACTCTAATGTCATTTCTTGCAACCTCAGCACATATCATTCATGGTCTACCCTTGACTCTTTCCCTCTATATTTCAACTCATGCTTCTTTTGACCCAATTGGTTTCGTCCATTCTATCCACATGCCTAAGCCATCTCAGCTTACCTCTACAAAAAAAACAATGACTTGAGAGGAATCTTTAAACACAAACATTTGACTAGTTTGGGGATTGAGTGAGGAAATATGAGTTACAACCCCATTTTTTTCTGTTCCTTTTTGATTTGTTGATGACATTATTAATATTAAAAAATGATGATGATGCAAGAGGCAGGAGAAAGGTACAGTAGAATTAACAGATACAGCATTAAGTATTTGAGGACGATGTGTGTGCTGAATAAAAAATAGAAAAAGTGAGATGAAGAAGAGAAATATGTGTTGGGTAAAGAATGGATCAGGGTTTGCTCAAGTGCTATAGGCATACTGAGATAATGGGAAATGAAAGATTAGAAATAAGGTGGAAAAGGGGAAGACCAAGATAGATACACTATAAGTGAAGGGTAGTCATCCAGGAAACAGCATTGCATGTGTGTGAATTTCTTAAGGAAGGTTGTGGTGCAGTAAGGGTAAACCAGATTCGGGCCCTTGTAGACAGTAAGTATCTCGGTAAATTCATCTATTACAGCAGTAAGTGTAGTGAGGAAGAATATGTGCATTTGCTCTTGGTTTTGGGCACCATTCAATAGTTGGAAAAAGGCTTGCCAAAAAATTATGGATATTTTATATAATTTTGTCCTTAAGTGTCAGAGCATAACTTGTACCGACACACTTAGAAATATGAAGATGTGTTATTACTGGATCCCCCCCTAGTGGGAACTGCCTTGTAGTAGGGGGGGTGGGTTGAGGTCCTGTTGATCTGATGAGCCACACCAGGGGGTCTGGTCCCCCCCCCTTTTTTCTTGAGGAAATGGCTTCCCATCCTGGAAGGGTCTTCAGGGAGGGATGAGACTATTTGGTTCTCTTGAGCTGCTAGCCTTGAGAGCTGGATAGTGGCGTCTTTCCTCCAGCCCATTCCGCAAAGGCTGGAAAGTAGTACTCCCACGTGTTTGCCCTATGTGGCGACCAGTAAGGCTAGGAGATGGGAATCCTGAAGGTTGAGCAATGCTGCACGCTGTGCCCTGTGGCTAGCAATACACCTCTTCAGTCCCTTATTCTAGTAAGATGGGAGGCTTGATTTTCGTCCCGGTCAAGCAAATCGGCTGGCCTCAGGGTCAGTCATTTGGCTTAGGGTCAAGCAGGCATCACAAAGTTGACACCCCATTTGGTCCTGTGAGTGTCATCAGGCTTAGTGGTAGCCTGTGTATACCTCCCCAATATATCGGGGGCTATTGTGTGGTCTCCCCTTATTGGACTCCATGGTGGGTGGGGAGGTGAAAGAATAGTAAAAATTTTATGGCATCCATGCCCTTAAATTCCTGGCCTGACTCCAACCCTGATGATCCTGACTCATCAATGGACCAATTTCCTGGAACACCTTTAGTGGTCACTCTAGAGCCTTTTGTGCCCAGCAGTGACCGACATTCTCACTAGCATCGGAGATGTCCTTCTTGGCAGACTGCTGTATTGAGAGAGACCCTACCTGACTCATATGATAAATATTTAGTCTTATCATCACAAGAGATTAATCTAAAAGACAAGAATATTTTTCAAACATACCATGATATTGTACAAGTATTTGTATCTGCACCAAAAGTTGTGCCCCAAGTAGATGGGGGGGCCTTTTGGTGGAGGTGTCATCATTAGAGATGAGTCATAAACTTAAGACTCTTAAATGTGTTGCTGGAGCTACAGTGTCTTGCTCCCCACACAGCAGCATGAACAAGATCCGAGGTGTGGTGTATAGTATTCAGCTACTCTGTTACTCAGAAGAAACCCTCCAGCAGAAGTTTGCAGATCAAGAAGTAATAAAGGTAGAGAGAATCAAGAAAAAGGTCGATGGAATTTTAACACCTACACCATCTCTGATTATCAAATTGAATAGATTAACTCTTCTGGACAACCTGATGGCAGCTTGGTATACTGTAGACTAAAGATTAAACCATACAGTACATGCCCATGCCACGAAGATGTTTTTATTACCAAAAAATTAACCCTGTGTCCATGAACTATCGTAGACTTAAACTTGGTCTACCTGCTATGGGCTTGATGTTCATAAGGATGAAGAGTGATGCCCTCCATCGTGCATTAATTGTGGAGAGGATCATGCGTCAAAAGGAAGTGCTGACCCTACGGGCTAAGGAGCGCATTTCCTTTAAAGAGGCAAAAAGAGTCTCAGCCACTTTTTACACTGGCTCTACATTTGCCAATAAAGTGTCTCAGACAAACTTCAATAACCAGAAGAAGAATATAAATACAGTAATAATGCATCTACAATAAAACTTACAACACCCAGGCCAAAAATGTCAAGCCTAAAGATATCTAGTCCCTCTAGTTATGTTAATCTCGAGATCCACATCATTAGTTAATGTACTATCTGCACCTCAGATAAATGAATCTCAGAAGCCCACTCCTTCAGCCTCTTGCTCTCAAAAGGAAGAATGTCTGGGTAACAAAAGAATCCATCGCGAAGAATCTTTAGAGGGGATCCTTGAGGGCTAATAGGCTGTTGGCTGCTGTCAACACTCCCTCCTCAGAGTCACCGACTGATTTACAGTCAGTGGACTCTACAAAGGTTCTTGCCAAAACGCCAGCAACAGCAGGAGCCAGTCAACCACAGAACCTTAATCCTGTGGGTCTAAAGATAATTGATAGGTAGGGGAGGGTGACCATGGATACCAACTGGTTCCCCTAAATTTGGGAACACCAAGCCTGAGGCATCATTATCATCCACTGAACTTCTGAAGACCGCAGGTACACTAAGTCATTCCCCTCCCTCCAAGTCAGTTTCCCCAATCAAAGCCAAAGACTCCCTCTGGAAAATCCCTAGTGTGAGATCTTGCCAGAAGTCAACATAAATAATTTTCACCTTGATGCAATGGAACATCCGAGGTTCCCAATTGGGCCCCGCACCTCATAAGGCCGGCCCTGCTCCTGAATGTATCTAAATCTGCTCCAGTGCTTGTCAAGTCTGGTCTTGAAAGAGCTCACACTCGGTGCCAGTGCCGTCACAACTCTCACTCCGAAAAAGTTATCCCTCACAATTTTCTGGGCTTGTGGCTTCTTCAACCTTGAGCTGTGGCCCCTTGTGGGCCGAGCGTCCGCCAGCTCCACGTTAGGACACTCGACTAAGTGCTCTTGGAGATATTTTTACACCTCAATTAGGTCCCCCCCCCTAGCCCGTCTGTAGTATAATATGAAACCCTGACACTGTGTTTTGATCGACTCCCGCGACTGACAGATCAAAATTTGCAACAGCAGTCAGCATTGTGTGTATATTTTAGACCAAGTCGAGAAAAAGAGAGAGAGTTGACTTTTAATAAGGGAAATAAAAACTGCAGACTTAATTATATTAATGAGCGGCTGCAGATTTCTAAATATGCCAATCAAGTCAGTGTAGAGTAAAACACGGAGAACTATTGATTAGTCCAGACTAACTGTTTCTACCACATCCTGCCGTACACGTCGATATATAATACTAATTAGGTTTACTTCGTCAAATATATGTATCTATAAGGATCGTAAAAGTCTTATTAAAATCCAATGATTATTGGACTATCCAGGATGTCTAAATGAAGGCTTTCATCAAAGGGCCTCATCAATGGAGGCACTCATTAGTGGAGACTTTCATTAATGAGGTATCCATTAATGAAGTGGAGTCATCAATTGGAGCACTCATCATCGGGGATGTTTATCAATGAAGGCACTCATTGATGAGGCATTTGTCACTGCGAGTACTCTATAATTAGGAAATCATTATCTGTTGGGCTACACACACACACACACACAACCACCTTGACCACCGAAGGGTCAAGACGTACCTGGCGCTCCTCTCGGAGCAGCCAGGTCAACTGTTAAGTTGGCCCATACCAACCCCCTCCCCTGAACCCTCCTCCCCACCGGAATATCAACAAGTTCTCGCCAGAAGTTACAATTTCATTTAGGAAAGGAACGGAACCAGTGTTAAACAGAGGTGAACAGTGGTGAACAGTGCTTAAGTCAGTGAGAACAACTCAACAGTAACAGTCGTACCCAAGTTAACCTTCACACAGTGAGGTCCCAGGTACCCAGTGATAACGGCCCGTGAGACCCAACAACAAACAGCGATGTGTTAATCCGTCTACGATAGGAAGGCCTAAGACCAAACCTCACTCATATAACACCATCTGTGAGGGAATTACTACACCACGTCAAGTCCCTCATCACACCATCTGTGAGGGAATTACTACACCACGTGAAGTCCCTCATAACACCATCTGTGAAGGAATTACTACACCACGTCAGGCCCCTCATAATACCATCTGTGAGGGAATTACTGCACCACGTGAGGTCCCTCATAACACCATCTGTGAGGTAATTACTACACCACGTGAGGTCCCTCATAACACCATCTGTGAGGGAATTACTACACCACGTGAGGTCCCTCATAACACCATCTGCGAGGGAATTACTACACCACGCCAGGTCCCTCATAACACCATCTGAGGGAACTACTACACCACGTGAGTTCCTCCTAACACCATCTGGGAGGAAGTTACTACACTACTAGTTTGCTGTTCAACACCTACATTAATCTGTATGTTCACTGTATGTTCCTTTACCTTTCTCTAATGAAGGCTTTTGTTAAACCACCAATGTATGTAATAAGTCATTTATGTCCAATGTATATTTTCAGCCTTCGGGCTGCAGAATTTTTTCAATAAACCGTTAATTATTATTATTATTATTATTACACACACACACACACACACCGGGATATCTACATAATCAAAAGTGACAATTTCGTTTCGGAAAGTCGTGGGGTCAGTGTTGAACAATGATGAGCAGTGTTTAAGCCAATGAATTCAGCACTAGACAGTACCAGTGAAAGCCGCGACCCACCAGTGAGATAAGCACCACTGGGAACTAACCACCATCTTCTGACAAGGAGGTGCTAATCCGTCCACCCTGGGAGCAACAGAGGGCCGGCCGGCTATGCACCTGACTACGGGATAACAACATCACTTCGCAGTGAGGTACTGTGTGACACCACCCCACATCACACAGTGTCCCCATGACTACGTGAGGTCCTTCATATCAACACCCGAGGACGAGTTACTGTACCACGTGAACACCACACCACCCGGTGTCTCTATGAACACGTGAGGTCCTTCATATCAACACCCGACGATGAGTTACTACACCACGTGAACACCACACCACCCGGTGTCTCCATTACCACGTGAGGTCCCTCATACTGTATCAACACCCGAGGACGAGTTACATAAGAAAATAAGGAGTCTGCAATAGGCCAATTGGACTGTGCATGGCAGCGTTCCAGAGTTCCAGCACTTACTACAAAGTTGCTAAGCTTGTTCCACTCGTCCACCACCCTATTTGTGAACCAGTTCCTTCCTATCTCCCACCTAAACCTAAACTTATCCAACTTAAATCCGTTGCTACGAGTCGTATCCTCCTCGGATATTATAAAAACTTTATCTATATCCTCTTTATTGATTCCTTTCACCCACTTAAATACTTCTATCATATCTCCCCGCAATCTTCGTCTTTCTAGGGAATGCATGTTTAGTTTCTTTAACCTGTAGTGGATTCCTACCCTACAAACGCTGTTTGTCGCTGCCTAGCCGACCCCACGATTTCACCAGCCTGCCCTCGTGGTCTAGGTCAGCAACCAGCGCCCCCTTACACGACTGAGGTCAACTATTAAGCCACGCCTACCCCTGCTATATAAGACCTCACCTCGTGGTGACCAGCTTCTCTTCCTGCCCCAAGCACCACGTCCTACCGATCCCAGGACACCCGTCCTGCCTCAGACGCCGCCCCCTGCCCAGCAGTACCCCCTGCCACTGTCCTGGACCCTCCTCCTGACGCGGACCCTCCTCTGCTCCTGCCTGGCAGCCCCTGCTCCTGATGCGGCCCATGCGTCTGAGGAGGCCCCATACACCTTTTTTCCCCCTCAGGTACTCCCTGCTACTGTCCTGCACCCTGCTGCTGTCGTGGATCCTACTGCTGTCACATGCACCCTGCTGCTGTCATAGACCCTCTTCCTGACGCAGCCCCTGCTCCTGACCCAAACCCACACACCCCAGCAGGCACATCTGAGGACTCTGTACCTGCCGCGAGGGAAGCACAACATTCATCGCCTCCACAACCCTCCTTCACCCTCTCTTCTCCCACAGATCTCGTGTATCTAGACAGTCGTCTCCTGTAGCAGCTGGCTCATCCACGCCCTCGCCGTTATGTCTCACATGTGGCACGCACCGCCCGTTCTGCCTCACATGTGCCATGCAACCCTGCAGACAACAAGTCTCCTACACCGCCTGGAGGGAAGGGGGAATATATTGTAGTAGATTCCTCCCCTACAAACGCTGCCTAGCCGACCCCACGATTTCACCAGCCTGCCCTCGTGGTCTAGGTCAGCAACCAGCGCCACCTTACACGACTGAGGTGACCTATTAAGCCACGCCTACCCCTGCTATATAAGACCTGACCTCGTGGTGACCAGCGCTCTTACTACCCACAGCCACCATCAAGCAACACCTCCTCCTCCGCTCCTGCCTGGCGGCCCTCGCTCCTGCCGGCGACCATGGCGACCCACAAGCTGGTCCTCCTCTGAGCACCCTCACCAACCAGCTCTCTCTACATCACGCTTGCAACCATGCTGCCTTCCCAGCACCAAGTTGCATTGTACATCCAATACAACATGTATACAGAAAGCACATTGTAAGTTTCCTTTCTCCATCCCATCCTGAGTGCGAAGAAATATCTCGAAACCCCACAAATCCATCTTGATATGGTAGGTTTTTAAGTCCCGGAATCATTTTCGTCATCCTTCGCTGCACTGACTCCAGTGAATTGATATCCATTCTATAATAAGGGTGTGGGGTACGAGATACTTGGTTCACACTCAGGATGGGATGGAGAAAGGAAACTCATAATGTGCTCTCTGTATACATATTATATTGGATGTACAATGTAGCTTGGTGGCTGGTGTTGGGAGGAGGCAGCGTGGTTACAAGCGTGAGTAGGGAGAGCTGGTTGGTGAGGGTGCTCAGAGGAGGTGTTGCTTGCTGCGGCTGTAGCTAGAAGAAGGGGCAGGTCACGGCCAGGTGTGGTCTTATATAGCGGGGGTAGGCGTGGCTTGATTGTAGACCTCCGTCATGTAAGGCGGCGCTGGTTGACCTAGACCACGAGGCATACACTGGGGAATTCGCGGGTCGGCTACTCAGCAACAAGCAACGTTAGTAGGTGAGGAATCCACTACAAGAACTTCCTGAAACTGAACCGCATAATCGAGGTGCGGCAGCTGGCGCAAGATATAGTTGCAATAAGACACTGCCTCTTATTACTTACACTTCTAGATATAAAACCCTATTACTCTGTTTGCATATTTCGAATATTACTTTTCTTTCTTCTTTTTTCGTAATAAGCTTTGTTAAAACTATCCACCCAACCCGTAACTCTTTGCTTATGTAATAAATCATTTTTGTCTCATGTATATTTTTTAAGCCTTCGGGCTGTAAACTTTTCATCTTTTACTTTTATCACTCTTCACACTGATGGCTCATTGGCCCTTGGATTTCGGTCACGTCTCTGATTACTTTTTCCTTTTCTTTTATCCTCGTCACCAAAAGACCGTTTAATTAATATATATATATATATATATATATATATATATATATATATATATATATATATATATATATATATACAGTAAACTGGGAGGGGTTGCATCCTCTGTCCCCTTCCTTCCTTCTTGTATCTGTCCAGCATAAATGTGTTGTGAATCTGGAAAATTGCAATTGTGAATTTTGTATTGCTATGCATGGAGCAACTCACTCCAAATATTGCACATCCGCATATTAAGACACTTGCATAATTCGTGAAAGCTTGTACATTATTATATTCGATTTAAATTTAAGCAGAGAAAGGATGTACGGCGTGCGCATGTTTCATCCTCATTATCGGAATGATCTCTCACAATTGTCAAAGCTTCTGTAAATATTGACGTGAGTGAGAGACTGATAGAATTCCATTTAAATGATGTAATAGATGTTTAAATAATTTATGTGTATATACAGCTGCCTATACCATACACAATCGCTTGTGATAAAATACTGTACTGCTGTTAGATGTGTATTACTGAAAAAAAAAAGCTAGTTTTTGTCTCTAAAATAGTCCTTAGATTATTAACTGACACCCAAGATAATTACCCAGAACATCGAATTTTACTTGATAAGGCGACATACCATAATTTAACAAACAATATCAGTGTAAGTTGAGAGAGATTAATGTATAGACAAGAGAGAACTACTTAAGGAGGCGGAGTGGTCTGGGCGGTGCGGGGTGTTGTGTGGTCCCCCGGCTTGTGTGCGCCAGGAGCAGCGGATCACGCTCAGTCTTAAGTCCTGAATTATTTTAATTCTTTCATCTGTAGTGATCCTCGGGACACTGTTGAAATGTACTGGAGTGGGCTAAGGTATGTATAGGTTACTATGGAACACAGTGTTTAGTTGTATAATATCTTATTCTCAGAGAAAAGTGTCAAATATAAAGCTTGTACCGGGACCTTCAAGCGTGCGCAAAGCACATGCTGCCCCTGCGCACATTGGTCCTACATACTGCATTAACTCATAACAAAACTTTAATGTAATGTGATACAAGGTGACATTTCAACCCTATTCAGCTATAAAAATGTCTAATCATAAGAATGCCGTGTGTGGAGGGTGAAAGGAGTTATAATACGAGGTGTTGGCGTGCTCGCTCAGCTGGCAGGATGCCTATGGTTATTGATTAAGGATTTAGAATTATCCCACCCAATATCACCGCCTGATTTTTCTTATTTAATGTAACGTCTGCGAATTTTGAGTCAATGTTCAACATTTTTGAGGAAGGCTAACATATTCCTGCAATTTTAAGATGCGGGACTGTTAATAGAACCTGGTTTGGCTGTCATGGGGGGGTATCACCTCAACTCCTGTGTTACCTCAAATAAAGGAGTTCCGCTTGTGAGGTTTACAAGAATTGAATTGGAATGATTATTATAATTTTTGGCAGCATACATGTTCTGAGTGTTGGGATAAAATTATGGCCAAAATTTATTTAAGTTCAATCTCTTTCATATTGATTTGGTTTACATAATTAACTGTGATGCTAAAGATTTCTTGTTAGGCATTATTATTTAAATTTCCCAAATTTTTCTTACATTAATAAAATATGGTAACTTGTATATCTCGATTTAAGCAAAGTCTTTGACAGAGTCCCTCACTAAAGACTAATAAGAAAAGTTGGAGGCTCATGGCATTGGAGGAGATATGCTAAAATAGATTAGGGCGTGGTTACAGGACAGGAAACAGCCAGAGAGCTTTAACGGCACTAAATCCGATTGGAGTAGTGTCACTAGTGGAGTACCCCAAGGCTCAGTACTTGGACCATTATTATTTATTATATACATAAACAACATAGATATAGGCGTAGACAGCAACATGAGTAAATTTGGTGATGACACTAAAATAGGGCGTGTAATTAAATCCGACGAGGACTGCAAAACTACAGGAAGATCTAAAAAAAAAAATTTTGAATGGTCTAATAAACGTAAATTCAATGTGGACAAATGTAAACCTATCCGACTAATTACCCAAATGTACCCAAATGCAGCCGCAATGAAGTCAAATAATGGTCCTACATGAATAAATCGGACTGCCAATCACTTCTCGATTATTATTTGGTGTCATAAAGTCACAAGAAATTGGTAAACTTAATTTAATCTGAGTTGTGTTAGGTTAGGTACATGCACTTCATCTACTAACTCAGATTAAATTAAGTTTACCAAATTTTTGTGACTTCGTGACACCAAATACTAGTCGAGGTTAGGTTAGGTTAGGTACATGCACTCAATCTATTAACTCAGATTAAATTAAGTTTACCAAATTTTTGTGACTTCGTGACACCGGATACTAGTCGAGAAGTGATTGGCAGTCCGATTTATTCATGTAGGAGCATTATTTGACTTCATTGCGGGTACATTTGGGTAATTAGTCGGACCCAATGTAAAGTACTTAGTTTAGGAGATGTAAACAGAGAGACCAGATACCAGATGAACAATGACATTAGAGAAATCTGACTGAGAAGGATTTAGGAGTAATGATAAGTAGGAATCTTACGCCAAGTAAACAATGTGTATTTGCTCGAAACAAGGCTAATAAAGTACTTGGGTTCATACAAAAGAGAGTGTTACAAGGCTAGCGAGGTTATCCCAAAACTATATCTTGCACTAGTGAGACCTCACTTGGATTACACAGTTTAGTTTTGGTCACCGTACTACAGAATGGATATAGAATTCTTAGAAAGAATTCAGAGGAGAATGACAAGACTATTCCCGGGCATTAGGAACCTCGAGTACAAAAACAGGTTAAAGCATCTTAATTTGCACTCCCTCGAGAGACGTAGACTAAGGGGCGATATGATAGAGGTGTATAAATGGAAGTCAGGGCTAAACAAAGGTGATATAACAAAGGTACTCAAACTATCCAACCAGGAGCGAACTCGTAGCAATGGTTTTTAATTTGACAAATTTAGATTTAGGCACGAAATTGCCAAATATTGGTTTGGAAATAGTGTAATGGACGAGTGGAGCAAGTTACCAAACATCATCATTAACTCGAATATGCTGGATAGCTTCAAACATAGGTGGGTGGATGTATGAGCGATGGGGGTTGGGTGTAAATGGGACTGCCTAGTTTGGGTCAATAGGCCAGCTGCAGTTTCCTCCATTCTTATGTTGTTATTGGTGCCATCTTATTACCTGTACTAAGATTATCATTAGTTTTTGGGTATACTGTACTGTATAATATTTAAGGACATTGGTCTGGGTTAACCAGCTGTCTAATGAAAAATAACTACTGTATCGCAGCCAATTTATTTCTTATCTCAAAAATATAATGGTTCGAGAGGAGGAATAGCACTTTTGCTATTCAGGTTTTGTCCCTAGTTTTTCCCCATCTTTGTTTACATGAGCATCAGGTGTCTGTTATACTGTACTCACTAAGAGACAAACAGCAGCTGCAACTTCATAAAAACATTTGTTGATACTTAACGAAAAGTGTTTTACCCCGAGAAAGTGACAAAAATACACGAGGAAACAGTTTTGCAGTACAGGTACTGTATGTGTTTTTTTTCCAAATTTGACAGAGGAAGACATCCAAACACGGGCTAGCCATGCGTGTCATGATTAGGGTTTAGCAGTGGTTTTTATCACAAAGGAATTTTATACTTTAGAATGATCATCTAGGAAGTAACTATTATTCTTGGTTGGCTTGGTTGCTTACCCCTTTTTTTATTAATTACATTGTAGAATGTATCTAAAAAAATATCTGAAAAGAAACAGTGACCAATCTTAGAAAGTATATGTGGACAGAGGCAGCTCCTCTGTAAACACAAAAATGCAAGAAAATCGTAGAAGTGAAATTGCAAAAACAGTCCTGCATTTTGTAATAGTTTCTTGAGGCAATAAATCTTTTATATTCTATTGAGCAAGTTCCTGAAATTAGTGTTGAGGCTGGACCACTCTGTTCAAGTATTATGTACAGTACCAATTTTTCTACCTGTATAGCGGGGTTTGAAACGGTTGAAGTCCAACTCGGACCACTTAGGTTAACGAACTCGGACTAAATAGTAAAAGTTAACATATTTTTTGCATGAATGATAAAAGTGCGTTGATAAAAAGCAGCATCGATTGTAAAGGGGAGAGAAATTGATTTGTTATTATTTATCTTTTCATTCTATCTTATTGCTATATTAATGGACATATGTGGAAGAGGCTATTTTTTTCTTTTATATATACTGTATACAAATTTATATATAGTTCACAAGATGACTTTACCGGGCGACCTGACAACGACACCCTCTCAAAATATGACGGTTGAGGATAACCTGATCACGAGATCTGAGGTTGACGAGTTCCACAACAATTTAAATAATGAGTTACTTAATGCACAAAGGCAGAACATACCACACAGAAATCTTGAATCAAACAACAATGACCCCAAATGGATACATAATTATTTAAAGAATATTATTGGACAAAGGAAGGCTATAGGTAGGAGAATAAATCGTGGTGAAGTTTACCTCCTAGATTATAATAAGGTATTGGCCAGTAGGGTTAAGACTGAGATAAGAAAAGCAGAGGAATAATGAACTGCAGGTAACAAGGGAGACGAAGTCAAACCCCAAAGGATTCTTTCAAATGTATCAAACTAAAACACGAGACAAGATTGGACCAATACCGGCGAACTAACTGATAACGACGGAGAAATAATCAGTAATCTGAACAGGTTTTTTTTTAACAGTTTTCACCACCGAAAATTTAAACGATACCCAAGACACCGACTACAGTATATACAGAGATAGTGAAGAAAATAGATCAAGCGAGATACTAGTGACTAGTAACGATGTTAGTAAGCAGAGTACTAAAGGAATGTAAGGTAAAAGCTTAGTATGCCCTAACAAATTTGTTTCACATGTCATTAAAAATGGGTGTAGTACCAGAATCCGGGAGGATAGCGAATGTGATACCGATTTTCAAGAAGGGAGATAGATCACTATCCTCAAACTACCGTTCAATCAGTTTCACATCAGTTGTAGGCAAATTGCTGAAAGCAATAATTTCAAACCCTATTCGAAATCACCCTGAGAAACACAAGTTACAAATGTGAATCATGGTTCATTGATCAAGTTCTACTAACATAAACTCATAAAATTCGTCCTTCATACCGATTGAACCCTCGGTATTCACTCATTCACACTCTTCGTATTTCAGTGAACCAAAAGAGATCAAACAAATCACTCGTTCCTGAACCTCTAGTCAGTTACTTGTTTGAAGCGTGCAAGGTGGGCCGAGTTAGTAATCTGTGGGCTGAGTTGGAGGTAAACCTTTGAAACTTACCCAAATTTGTGGGTTAATTGATGGAAAAATGTACCAGCCCTTCTACAGCTTCTGTTGCAGGTGACCACCTCCCCCGATTCTCTTTTTAGGCTTTATTCACATTTTTGGTTGTAAGAATTTAATAAAATAAACTGACAATATGCTGAAATGGGGTATAATTTATTTCAATTACTGGGTGATAATGAAGACAGTACAGTATTATAGTGCACTAGTCTCTACAAAACACAGTACAACTGAAAGGCAGACTGGTGGCACTACTCTATCAAATCTCCACATGCTTATAGTTTTATGTCAACACAGTGTAAAAATTACAGATATACTGTACAACCATAGCAAATGTAGGCAGGGCCTGAAGGGGCCGAGAGTTGAGCCGCAAATATAAACAAAATGTTTGGACTCCTGACCTTAAGTTTATTACTCTACATACAGTAAAACTGTCTCTTTAGCTCATTAATTAATAAATAATCCTTCTAAAATAAAACAAATTACAGCTTTAATCGTAATATCCTTTTAATTAAAGTTTAATATGAGGTGTGTCGAATCCAATTTTTTTTTACCCTCCTACAGGTACATGCCAATGCCATCTTTGTTTACTGTACTTGAGTACAGTATCAGGCTACTTGTTTGTCATCCAAATGTTTCATAGTCATGAATAATAACACTAATCCATTTCATACTTGGTTATGAGTATTGACAGTGGGAACTTGACACAAAAAAGGATGGATACAGCACCTGTTATTAATATAATAAGTGGAATACTGTCGTAGGATTTGACTTTTTCCAACTAAAGTAATATTATTGATAAATATTTTGTAGTGACCATGCACGGAACTTTATATTGACACGTATAGGAAGATAGTGAAAAAAATACTCGATGGTGTTTCCGTCGTAAATTATAATTATCGAGTTACTTTCACTTTTCTGTTTCACTTAAGGGAGTACAAGTTCGTGATACTTGTGTGCATGTACAGTACTTATTCACGTCATTGTCAGTAATTTACGTTTCTTATTTCAGGTTTGGTTTCTTTACTTTGTTTTTCTTTTGTGATTGTTAGGTTAGGTTTACACACTGAGGCATCCAGGAGGCTCTGCTCCCCTGGATAGGTTAGGTCCTTCTGGTTAGGTTAGATAGGACATGTATACTGATATTTCCTACATTTCCCTTTACTTTAAAGCCCTACTCACTTCGTGTGATCAAAATTGTATTCCTTTAAGTCTGATGGTTCAAGTTAGTGCCTATAGTGGTCACTTAATGTTTGTAATTTTGTTGTACCCTGAGAAGGGTCTTGTATCATATTGTACAGTTAGAGAATTGTTTATAATAAATTTAAGCAAGATATTTTCTCCAGATCTGGAAGTAATATGATAATTTTTTCTTTCTTATGCAGTGCGGCAGCAAATGCAGCTGCTGCTTACCAAACCGGTCAAACTGGCTATCCAGTTGGCCACACCCCTACTGGTACATACACCACTCAGCGGGCAGCAGGTTCTACCTATGATACTGGATATCAGACTGCTGCTGCAGCTGCTACCCATTCCACTGCAGCTGGTACCTACCCTAGTGCTGCTGCCTCAGCCACCTATGATTATGGTTATGGCCGCACCACACAAACGGCAGCAGCAGCAGCGGCGGCGGCTTACGATTCTTCCAAGACCTATTACGCACAGCCGTCTTCTGCAACTGCTTATACTGGTGCAGATACTCACTACCATAGTAAGACAATGATCATGATTGATAGATAGTACTGTATAGTAGTGCAATAATGCCATATTTGTATTTTGATATATACAATGTAATATAATGTGAATACTGTATTGTACAATATTTAGTTTTTGGTGTATACAATCATTTCTCACTTATCTGTAATTTAATTCTGGTTATGAGGGAGAGATTTATCTGCAAAAAAGAAGAGTGCATACATAGTTAACAACACAAGGAATGCAAGTGTAAAAATTGTAAGATGTTCATTTATCATTTTGACCAAATCAAGGTTAAATAATGATACTCTTGCCACACATTGTAGTTAATGGTTATACTCTTTTTTAGGTTGTTAGCTGTTGAATTAATACCAAAAAGGGTTGAATTAGGTGGATCAGTTTGAGGAAACCGCATTTTTGGGTCGCAAACTTTGTTGGTCACATTGGATTGCCGAGCAGAATACACTAGACTTCAGCTTTCAGAAAGAATGCGTCTTATTCTTTGTTATTACCTTACTACAATTCTTAGGCGAGGATATTTAACTTATAGAAATAAGATGGAACTAATTTTTTTTACACACGTTATGTTCAGTCAAACTATACTTTATTTTTAATTTAATGTGAGCATCTTTCAGTCTCCAGAAAATTATAAATTATTGTATTTGCTTATTAAACCTGTGGTGTCATGAATTAGACTGCTGTAGTCGGTTGTTTTACAATATCATTTCCATTGGGAGATTTTTGTACAGAAATAAACAGAATATTCCTATAATATTGGGAGATGATCGTGGGTAATTTAGTAGCAACAACATACTTTTCAGGAAGTTTGCGCGGAAAAAACTGATGGTGAATGATTAACTTTGGTATGTGGTACAGTATCTGTGCTTATTTAGATCACATTGAGGAAGCACATGAAAATGATAATCCCAAACAAGAGTTTCAGGAGCTCTTAATCTGTGGCGAGTGAAAAAAAGAGGTTTAGTGTGAGATCTACAGTATATACCACACCACTTGTTTGGGTAGGCAGTGCCAATGTTCCGTAGTACATAGGAATTAAAAGATAAAAATAATGGGATGAAGCCCTTGGAAAGTTACATGGCTTACAAAATACTGTATTGATGAAGTACAGATATACAGTACATGTTATGGAAATAGGTCTTTTGTGGTAGTGTAGTGGAAGGGCGAAGTAGATTGGTTGATTTGGTAACTGTTAGTGGAGTATGCCAAAGGGAAGTCCATATACAGTACAGTAAAGTACTTTTGAAGAATAATGTGTAAGTAGACGAGTGAGCAAAGTGTATAGTTTAACAGCATTAAAGATGTGAAGCACTTAGTTACTCTGTGGAGAAATGGGTTCAATGTTTGAGAGAGAAGTGTTGTATGTCTTTTGCCACATTTAGTTGAGAATGGAATATGGTAGATAGTGGCACAAATTTATAGTAAGTGGTTATGGCTTCCAGACTAGTACAGGTATCCAATATGATTAGTTTAGTGAGTAGGAGAGGTGATTGAGTTTGACACATGGAGGTTGTTAGTCTGTGGAATCCCGCATCATTATAAAAGTTCCTCTACTGAAATTTTCCAACCAGTATTGTATTGTAAAAGCTAAAAAATTTATGTAGTACATCACTACATGACTTAAATTTTGTTGTATGGTATATAAAATATACTGTATACAAAACTTAGATCATAGTCAGGTGGGTATAGGGCAGGAGAGCAGATGAAGTGGAATCTGATTGTATACAGTAGTATAATCGTGTGCTTTTTTGCCAATAAGTGTGGGGTCATGAAGGACCTTAGATGTTTTTTCTACAGACAAAGCTGCTTATACCAATGCCAGTGCGTACACGACCACATCACGTCAGACAACTCCTGTAGTGACCCCCAAGGCGAGCTACACTGGCACGTATCCAGGAGCTGCGGCGGCTGCTGCGACAGCCACCTATAACACCTCTCCTTATGCTGTGCAAACAACCACTGCCAATAAAGGTATTTCCTTGTGTTAGTGTTGACCAGTGAAATTTTCTTCATCTTACAGTAAACCCTCCCAATACTGAACTAATTTATGCTTCAGTACCTGGAGTTCATTCTAGTCTGACATAAAGATGAAAATGTAACAGATGTTACAGATAAAACCCCAAAAATCTGTTACCAGTACAGATAATGCACAAAAATCTCGGTGAGAATGTTTGCAGGGTGAACTCAAACGGCATATTGATATTGGTGCTTAACTGTACAATACAGTACACTGATGAGCTTACAAATTAAACACACGAGCACAGTGTTCCGTCTAAGCATGTGCATACAGTAGGGTTGGGATATAGGGTCCAACGATGTTTGCTATATACTAAATCGCTATATATAATTCCATGTAATCAATGGGGAAAGTAGGGTTAGCTTCTGGAGGCCCAAAAAAGTGACTAAATTTGACTTAAGTTTATTTTCTTACCAACTAAAGCACCAATGAACTCTAGGCTCGGGAACAACAGGCTGTTTCAATATCAAGGAACACCAAACTTCGCAGCAGATGCCACACTGCCACCCTCACTTGACAATCTCACACCTATAGAAACGAACAAATAAAAAATATTAGTTACAGTATTAAATCTTTTCCATTAAGCTTTCCATTCACTTCACATGTCACTAGCAACCCATTTACACTCGCCTTAGAAGTCGTAATCTTCAGCAGAGTCGGCTGCTTACTCGACACACTCAGAAAGGCTGAGCGGGCTAGCATGAATGTGTGGGTGAGCAGCCATGGTGGCCCCTCTGGTGAGCAAATAACACATTTGTTCACCATGGTGATACATTTGAAATATTTCCTGCCCAATTTCCCCCGTGAAATAAATAAATTTATTGCTATATATTGGAAAATATTTTCAGTACTTTAATATACAGATTGGTAGCCGGAATTTTTACACATCTTGTAAAGACTGTTTCTTAATCGTAATGTACAGTCGGCAGCAGAAGTTGGTCTCAAGCTAAACTGCATGATATGAGGCAGTGATCTGGGAACACTGTATGGGGAAGAGTTGACAGATTTGCTTTGAATGGTTAGATATTTATTATCAGAGATTACCTAGCAATACAATTCTTATATATGATGTGTAAACTGGGGGAAAATAAAGTTGAAAAATATAACGTTGCTGCAGGGTGATTCATAACAGAGGAATTAGATGTACTGCTGATCCCAGCAAGTATTTTTCATGCTCAATGACACATTCATACTAAAGAATTCATGCATAATATCTACTTATACACTCCCTCCCCTCCCTCCCTTTTCCCATCCTCCTCCCCTTTAGAAGAGATATTAGTGTGTTTGACAGTTTAACAGCTATACAGTAAACCCTCTATAACTCGGCACATGTGGGGCTCTGGCCTTGCCGAGTTATACCAAAATCTGACTTATCGAGGCCCTCCTCCTCCTCCTCCTCCAAAAAATACAACACAAAAAATATCGACCCATATACAGGTATGTGTATACACAGTAAAAAAATACCGCACGGATTATGTGCGAAACACTCCGACACTGCGGACGAGGGATAGTGGAATATGCATGTTGGTACTGTATTATGGTAGTAGCCCTGCTTTCCTTGCCCTGCCATAGGTAGGTGGAAACCTTTACCATACAAGCACGCATACCAACCCTCCCAACACATCGGGTGATGTATGGATCATTGCTGTGTGTATGTGTAATTACTAAATGTAAAAAGGGTGACCGATACATGGTAGGTGATGCTGGTGGCCAGATATGCCAAGATTTTCCCAGATAATTTTAAAAAACGTCATTTTCCGAGCTCTATTAATAACCATAACCGTGCCGAGTTGTGGAGGGTTTACTGTATAAGCCCATTGTTGTTAGGCATCATCCTGTAAATGTTATAATGAGTCATAAGATCCAACGTGTACATACTAACCACATGGTCAATAGTGATCCCAATATCAGACTGTACGTACTGGTCGAGTTAATTAATTAAACAGTACAGAAGGATGTCCGTTATTGGGAATATCCAGTAGTTAAGTTTGTTATTGAGAGGGTTTACTGTTTATGTCTTGGGGGCATGACAGTTTGGATATCCTTACATTACTTAGTGCTGTGCAAATTACTTACACCAAGTAAATTTCTTACTCAAAGTTGAGGTTTTGTTGAAAGCATTTACAGAATAGGTTAATGTAGTGTTTTGTTGTGCCCTTCACTTTTGTCTAAGACTTGTTTTACACGTTTTGGCTGAGTGTCTACCAAGGTTTGTCACAGGTTCTTAATTTCCTCTTATATGAACTTAGATGGCTGGTTTGTCTTTTTTTTTTTCTTTTTTTTTTAAAGTCCCAGAGATTTTGAATTGGGTTTAAACCAGTGGAGTTTCCTGGACACTTGACCACTTCTATATTCTTACTTTACAAGTACAGGCAGTACCCTACATAGGAATCCTCAAACTTATGAGCAATATCTCATTAAAATAAAATTTAAATATTGACCAAATATTCAGTTGAAATTTTGAACTGCGATCCAGGACTACCGGAATGTGGCGTGCTGTGACCAGTGTGTACACTGCCATCTTTTTTTTGTTTTGATTGTAGTGCTTTCCTTGCTGCATTTTCCACTTATAATGTACAGGAGGTCTCCGGGTTACATACAGCTGACTGCCGATACCAACAAGGTCCCCACAAAGTATATTATTTTAAGAATCCGACATTAGTACAATAGTTCGTAGTAACGTGCGAGAACTAATTTGCGTGATGCAGTGGAGCGTCACCCAGTCACGTGCCTTGTGATAGCATCAGTACGTCTTATGCTCGTCTCAGTAATGCGTGACCAAGTGCAAAGTGTCGTCTTTTTTATTATTAACTCTTTTTATGCCCTCATTATCGATCCCAAATGCAAGTCGTAGTACAGTAGTGTATCCAAGAAAAGGAAAACAATTGCAATGTAAGTGAAAGTTGATGTAATTAAATATTCTGAAAAGGGCAAAACAGTCAGTCATTGGTAGAGAGTTTGGCTCCAGTCGGTCAACGGTCGGAACAATTTTGAAAGAAACAGAAAATTCTTGAACATGTGAAAGGATCAACACCAATGCAGTCAACTGTGGTAACAAACCAATGAAGTAGATTGATAAGTGAAATGGAAAGATTGTTAGTGATGTGGATGGAAGATCAAATTAGTGGCATATGCCTATTAGCCTCGCCTTGATTCAGGTTTCAATGTGATTTTAAACTTGAAATTTACAGTACAAGTATTTCATTTACTCTATTTTGTCATGAGATTTTAAACATTATAGTACATCCTTCTTTCCTCACACAGCCAAACTGTGGAATGCTCTGCCTGGGTGGGCTAATTCCCGTAAAAAAAAAAGTACGTTATGCACAAATGGTATATGGTTCGACTTAAGAACGTCGGTTGGAACGGAACTTGTTCGTAACCCCGGAGATTGCCTGTGCTTTAAAAAAAAACATTCCCAACCATGTGTGAGAAACAATAGAATGTTGTTAATGCAATTGAGAATCTTCACACATTTATGTTAAAGGGGAAATTATACTTCATAAAACATATGGAAAGAGGTGAATGGCCGACGGAAATCAGGGTTTCTCTGGGTGTTGACCCTTCAGTCCAGGTGATGTTTCTCGATGCCCATTATAGTGACCTCGGCAAAGTTTGAATGTCCTGGCGGGACAAAGTAGTTTGTATAGGATATTTATGAACTAGGCAGCTCAACTCGTACGTATTCTTTGTCTCAAGTCTAGCGGTCCACTTACCCACCATTTATCATGATGGCTGCATGGGGGTGAAAACAGACTCCGATGATGTCGACTGTTGAGGCAGCCAGTGGTGAGGAAGGTGATGTAGACAATGGTGCTCACTGAGGATTAGGATGGTGACCCCTCAAACAGTTTTGAAGGGTTATTTCGGGCAATCAAGAATGAAATTACTGAACCTTGCAAATTCATGATCATGATTCCTTTCAAAAGTAATGTAATCGATTACAGTTACATTATGAACTGTAGTCATGATTCCAAATTAGGTAAACAAAAGAAAGCAATACATAATCACTGTCATGAAAATTGTTTAATGCTATATAATAGTGAATATTAAGTACTACAAAAGTTACTGAATGCAAAATGTCATAAGTATAATATGAGAACTTAAAAATAAACAATTGGTACCTGCATATTGAAGATTTTATTCGTGCAAAATCATACCGCGTACAGTAAACCTTGGGAAGTCCGGATTTCGGATAGTCCAGGCACTTTCCAGGGAAGAACTATTTACAATTGTTGGTTTGTATCTAACTCCAACTATGTTACTTATTGTGTTTTTACCTTGCATTATTTTGTTTTAGTGTGTTGCCAGGGATGTAATTACCTCAATCAACCAACAAACCCTCTTCCAAGTAAGCCAACACCAGTAATCATGCTATGCAACATTTGAATTCTTAGTTATTATATATCCATGAAACAGTACATACAGAATTAAAAAGGTGGTAAAGGGTACCGACAATGATATTCGACCTCCGAACAATTTTACTACAAATGGTCTAGGACTACAACTCGCTCATAAGTTGATGACTGCCTGTACAGTAAAGTACTATACAGGGTATTGAGTAAGTTTTCTGGATATACACTACAACAGGAAGCAAGGTCATTTTCATAAACTCCTGAGCCATCAGGAAACCACATGTTCATTTAAGGAACAGCATCCCTCATCAGAACTTAATTATGGAATAGTGTTCATCATTCCTTCTACTGACTGCAACAGACCAATGCTTCAATAAGAAAAGCATCTCCAAGACATATTCTTATCTGGATGTTTGACAGTTTGGTGAAGGTGGTCCTGTCTAGATAAACATGTTTGGTAAATGCTTTCAGTAAAACCTGAGGTTTGTGGTGAATAACATTTACATTTTACAACATTACAGTATTTGTTATTGTGCAGTAATATTAACTTCCCATGATGGTATAATTTTATGTTTTTCAGTAGTATACAGGTAATACAAAATACCTTACATGCCAGTCATGGTTTCTAATGTGCCCTGTTGAGTTACCATAGATTACCAGATACTGTACTGTACTCTAGGCTGTTTCTATACAAGGGAACACTTTATTATAATCACTATTGTTTATGAATTTAATCATTATTCTCAGCTACTGGTACAAAGTAGACATAATTTGTGAAGATGGCCTGTACTGTTTGAGAGCTGCAAGACTTGACCAGTTTTATTTGTCTTTGTAAATATTTGGTCAAAACATGAAGGAAAACCTGGAAAAAACTAATAAATTTAGGGACATTTTAATTAGATACCACCTAACAAAATTACAGTAATATCATGACTTTATTTTGTGGTAAAATATATTGTTTCAATTATCAGACTATTTAATGCTACCGGAGTCTATAAAGTAAATTTAAAAAGGGTTAGGTTAGGCTTCTGCATATGGGAGGGTGCTCTCAAGTGTGAGGTACAGCTGAGCAGGGGGTATTAGTCCAGCACGGGGGCGCTTAGCGACGCAATCTACGTCACCAAGTTTGATTTATTCTAGATAATGGTCCTTTACGTGAAGGTGGCAAGCCTTTCTGTTAGAATTGTATACAACTATTTAGTTGGTGGATCTGGCTCCATTTTTGGGGGAAGGGAGAGGTGAATGAATTCTGGCTTCAGCATTTTTTGCCCTGCATTTCATGTTTGGCCCATAATTTTTCACCAGGGAAAGAATATATATTATTCAGTAGAAGTCATTATAACGTGAGATACGTTCCAAGAGAGGTCGCTTTAAATTTAATTCGCACTAAATCGAAGTGTTGTTTCAATGGAATAATTTAGTTTGGTTGAACTGGCGCCGCACACTGCCCGCCACTCGTCTGCCTCACTCCATCCCTACCACTCGCCATGCACTTTCACTTTCCTCTCAACATATTTTAGGTGTGTAATGTCTACATTCAAATTATCTTACAAGAATTCCAGCAATGCAAATTATATTCTAACTTTACTCCTTGACATTTTATAAGATAAAAACTTTAAGCCTAAAACTACCTTAAGCCCTGGGAAGATGGAGGTGATGTGTTGACAGCCAGGAAGGGGTGGAGGGTGAGGTATTCACCAGCCGGCAGGGATATTAATCCCTTGCATCTTATGTCATATAGAGGAACTTTTTCTCTTATAAAGTGTCACTGAATTGACTGGGGAGAATATAACTTACATTGGTGGAATTCTTGTAAGATAGTGATTCATTTGAATATAAACATGCTATAGTTTGCACTAGACATAAAATGTATAGTAATTATTTAGTACAGTACATTTGAGTACATGTACAGTACTAAGTTGGCTGTGTTTGGGCATTATGAACGAGTATGAGAGAGGTTTAAGCACACTAAATTGACACACATGAGAGGCAGGTGTTACTAATACCCACCCGACAACCCTCTGGGTATTCCGGCACAGATTTGACTCGTGTTAAATAGGAAAGATTCGCTTTAAATTAATAGTGTCATTAATTATGGGTGTCACTTTAAATCAATAATTGATTTTCTACTGTATATATAATTTTTATTTTTACGGGGATTAGCCCACCCGGGCACAGGTCACTGACCCACATCAGGGAAGGGGAGGATGTAGTAATGATGATAATTTATAAAAGATAAAAATTGAAATAATAATAGTAATAATACATACAAGAATGAAAAAAAAATCAAGTGAGAAGCGATATACTGTATGTATGTTGTGTTGTCAATAGTAAGAGAAACAATTGAGACCTTGCAATTGTGTGTAAATGGGGCAGAAAGTCAGATCAGCAACCTGGGACTTGGTCAAAATTTTTGTGATGCCATATGGCAGCAGGGTCTACCATTAGACAACACATTATGCTTCCAGACACTGGGATCAGCAGTGACATAAGCAAGTTTGCGGATGACACGAAAATAGGGCTGCAGATTAATTCAGGGCAGGATGCAAATGCACTACAGGAGGATTTAAATAAACTGCAGGAGTGGTCAGGAAAGTGGCAAATGAAATTCAACACCAGCAGGTGCAGCGTACTTAATATTGGAAGAACAAATACTGTCAATGTATACAGTCGTAACAACATCAACCTAGAAAAGTCGACGTGAAAGAGACTTAGGGGTACTTGTAAGCCCGGGCCTATGGCCTAGAAAACAGTGTGTTAGTGTTCGAAATAAGGCAAATGGAGTATTAGGTTTTATATCTAGAAGTGTAAGTAATAAGAGTGCAGAGGTCTCATTGCAACTATATATTGCGCTAGTCAGGCCGCACCTCGATTATGCGGTTCAGTTTTGGTGTCCTTATTATAGAATGGATATCAATTCACTGGAGTCGGTACAACGAAGAATGACGAAAATGATTCGGGGACTTAGAAACCTTCCTTATCAAGATAGATTAAAGAAATTAAACTTGAATTCCCTAGAAAGACGAAGAGTGCGGGGAGATATGATAGAAGTATTTAAGTGGGTGAACGGAATCAATAAAGGAGATATAGATACTGTAAAGTTCTTATAAAATTCGAGCAGGATAGGACTCGTAGCAATGGATTTATGTTGGATAAGTTTAGGTTTAGGAGGGTGATAGGGAGGAACTGTTCCACAAATAGGGTGGTGAACGAGTGGAACAAGCAACTTAGCAACTTTGTAGTAAGTGCTGGAAAGTTTTAAAAGGAGGCTAGATAGATTCATGGATGATAGAGAGTGGTAGTAACTCTCGAGAGGAGCTGCGATGCACAGGCCAACCGGCCTATTGCAGACTCCTTATTTTCTTATATATATAGTGTTTGGAAGCAGTGGGAGTGTCATAGTCACCTCAAGACTATTTTTCATCAACAGACATATTATAGAGCAGTAATAATGTATACCATAAGAAACACACCTCTACTCTGAGTAATTCTCTTATCCATTATAATTGGCCATAGGTGAAAATACTTACTGCTGTCAAAAAGTGTATGAACTTTTATTCATAACATCTGTTGTAATTGTGTTAGCGATGTGAATTTGGTACTGGAGTATCTAAAATTGGTTCCAATTAAGCTAAAAACACTTCTTTTTTTTTAGCCAACATAAATAGTACATTTGTACGGGAGCCAGCACCAAGTTGCTGAGAGCTTATGAGAGACTGAGGAAAAATTATATTTTTTCTATTGATGTTAAAACCCAAATTGCCTGAAAAAAATTTCATATGGCGTATAAAGCCCTCGAGGGGTTAAAGTCTAGGCTAAAACTTACAGTAGGCTCGGATGTTCTTTAGCTCGAGTGTTAAATTCAGAATGATAGTCAAAGTGCAAGGATATAAATGGAATTTAAAACTCAACACTTCAATAAAATGGTTATATGTGTTTTGTCCTTCCTTTAGGCTCCCAAAGCATTTGTTGGTTACTCAGATATCTGACTTATTGTTTTTATTACACAAATCAAAAAGGTTAATATGTCATCTGGTGAACAAGTTTGAACAGCACTGCACTGATGTTATCTTAGGACTTGATATGCAGTATGCTGGATCATTCAAAGGTTACTTATACATACTTGGCTCCAATATACTTTATCTTAGTCATTTTTATTTAAGCTGTAATTAATGGTAATGCTTCATATGTTTAAATGTTATGAAAGTTGTAATCTTTTATTTCCAACAGCCACAGCATTGCCTGTGTATATGCAGCAAACATCTCAGCCAGCTGCAACTGTAGCTGCTGTGAAAACTACAGGCAATACTTGGCAAACTTTCAAGAAACCTGGAACTATGCAGGGCAAGGCTCAGAAGCCTAAGGCACCCCCAAAACCACAGCAGCTTCACTATTGTGATGTTTGTAAGATAAGTTGTGCAGGACCTCAAACTTACCGAGAACATCTTGAAGGCCAGAAGCACAAGAAAAAAGAGGCGGCTGCAAAGGCTGGACCAACGCCGTCCCGCCATGGAGCCTCGCTGCGTTGTGAACTCTGTGATGTCACCTGTACCGGTGCAGATGCATATGCTGCTCACATTCGTGGTGCCAAACATCAAAAGGTAAAAATTAGATAATAATAAGAATTATAAATTGATTGTTTAAAAACCAAATACCCTGTATCCTGTTTTGGGAAACAAAATTGGTTGCAGGAGGTAGAAGTCCATTATTTAAGGAATTATTATTTTTGTGTCAAGTGTTAAGGTCTTGTCTTAACTCTTAATGTTGTGTGATCCTTAAGAATAATTACTGAATATCAGAAATTTATGTATGAAGGCAGAGTAGTGATTGTAGACAGGTTCCCTGACTACAGTATAATACTGTACTTATCTCATTGTAGAAATGAATTGCATTTTAATTTTTTGTAGACTATTGTAAGTGATCCTACTCTTTGTGAGAGACTTCATGTCTGTGATAGTGAAACAATGGTTTGCATCATGTGTCCATTGATTTAGAAAATATATAAAGTATGTAAATATTCTTGGCCTTTCCTCAAGGAAAAACATAGTTTCTGGCTGAATATTTTTCTTTGCTCATGATAAAGCATTGGTTCTGAACTTGGGAGGTAATTGTCTCGAAGATTGAACATAATTCTGACTCCTGGCTCAGAATACTGAATCTGTGTTGTGCATGCATGTGTATGTGTACTGTATGAGGTACAAACACAGTGCTTGTGCTTCAACATATATCGGAGTAACAGTTCTGCTTGACTGAGCTGGGACAGTGTTACAATAATATGAGGATCACCATTTTGCCTCTGAATGACAGATATCGGTTACTTCAGTGGCTTCATCCTGTATGTCTTACCATTTCATAAATTTGTAGTGTGCCAGGGATTCACTGTTGATGATAGGTGGAGGGATGGTTTCACTTTTGATGATAGGTGGAGGGATGGTTTCACCATTGATGATAGGTGGAGAGATGGTTTCACTGTTGATGATAGGTGGAGGGATGGTTTCACTGTTGATGATAGGTGGGGGGGATGGTTTCACTGTTGATGATAGGTGGAGGGATGGTTTCACCGTTGATGATAGGTGGGGGATGGGTTGATGATAGGTTGGTTTCACCGTTGATGATAGGTGGAGGGATGGTTTCACCGTTGATAATAGGTGGAGGATGGTTTCATGGGTGGAGGGATGGTTTCACGTTGATAGGTGGAGGATGGTTTCACTGTTGATAGGTGGAGGGACGTTGATGATAGGTGGAGGGATGGTTTCACCGTTGATGATAGGTGGAGGGATGGTTTCACCGTTGATGATAGGTGGAGGGATGGTTTCACCGTTGATGATAGGTGGAGGGATGGTTTCACCGTTGATGGGGGTGGGCATGGATTTAGTGTTGGTGATGGGAGTGGGCATGGATTCAGTGTTGGTGATGGGGTGGGCATGGATTCAGTGTTGGTGATGGGGGTGGGCATGGATTCAGTGTTGATGGGGGTGGGCATGGATTTAGTGTTGATGGGAGGGTGGATTCAATGTTGATAGGTGGTGCAGCTCCAAAATGGTTAAGAAGCACTTGTTAGATAAAGGAATATTTACTTTTGACTTGTCAGTGGACTCACCAAGCCTTTTCTCTTTAAAGGTTGTAAAACTTCACCAAAAATTGGGCAAACCAATTCCATCAACTGACCCTGTTGTAGTTGGAGGTACAACCAAGACATCAACCACCACGGCAGGAGCTGCCGTAGGTGCTAAGACTACCACTAGTGGAGGTACAGCAGCTACCACAGGTACCCTAACTGCTACAGATGGCAAGAAAGATGACCTTAAGGATGATTTGTTAGACCTCAAGGAAAAAGACGTTGAACCTGTAGGACAAGAATATATTGAAGAAATTAAAAATGAAGAAGGTAGGGTGTTACGCGTGACATATAAGTGAGATAGTTCTTATTTGAATTATTTCTTTACATTGAAAAGGAATTTTTTATACCTCAAGTCATCCAATTTCTTCCCTAAAGAAAAATTTAGTTTTGTGTTCATGATTTTGTGAAATATATCAGAATAGAGATGTTACCATTAATCCCCTCGGACATTTGTGTTGCAGTAAGATTCAACCCCATTTACTGATATCTAAAAGTCTCCTAATTATTTACATGAATAACATCTTTTCTTGTAGGCAAAGTGATCAGTTTCAATTGCAAGTTGTGTGAGTGTCGTTTCAATGATCCCAACGCCAAAGAGATGCACATGAAGGGTCGTCGTCATCGACTACAGTACAAGAAAAAAGTTAATCCAGAATTAGTTGTGGAAGTGAAACCATCATTGCGTCAACGTAAACTTCAAGAAGAAAAGCTTCGCCGCCAACAGGTGAGATACTGGCTATGTGAGACATAGCTTTTGTAAATATATACAGTAGAAACCTTGCCATAACACATTATAACACCAATTTACTGCTAATTACACTTCACTTTGCATTGACGAGGTGTTTTTGGGTTTACTTGAGTACGCTAAGCGCATGATTCCACATTGATGGAATTGGAGTGACTTGCCTCGTGGTCAGAACTCTTAATACTTTACTGATATTTTAGTTCTTAGCTGATACATACTGTACTCGGTATATGAAAACTCCAAGTGCATGCCAAGGTTAGTCCACACTTGATTGGATTGCCAGGTTCATGTGTACAGTTGGCTATTTTAATAATTGAAAGTTTTATAAATGTTTTTTCTTCAAACTAAAGCCTCTTACAAATTCCTGAGAACGGGTAGGTAAATTGCATGGCATTTCAATTGCATTTTTTTCTGCAGGGATAAGTAGTCAAGTGTAGTTTTTCAGTTTTGTACACAATGTTTGAATTTATATGTTGGGGGTCACTGCTTTAGAGGGGTCTTGCCTAAATACTACTGTACTATGATTTGTAAATTTTGTTAAGAATACTTTCATAATTTAGATGAAGGTTTTTCTCGAAAGTTGCCTGAAAGTGTTTTTAAGTCATTAATAACATTACCATAGCTGTTTTATTATAATTGGAAAGTTTTACTGGGATCTTTTTTCCTTTCTGGTAATACAATTTGTGACATTTTTTTAATTTTGTGATTGTATTGTGTTGTTATTTTGAAGATACAGAGGACTAAATGTATTTGCATATTGATCATTTGGACTACAGTTTTAACATCTGTTCTCATCTTCTGGAGTAATTTTTTACTTTCATATTCTTTAATCTGTGTTGACAGTTTGGTATATACATTTTTTTTTTAACCTTTAGAGTTATAAACTAGATTTATTTAATGTGTGCATGTCCGTCAGTCTCATATAACTGCACCCGGTATTCAGAGTTGGGCGGATGATGGAAATATAATCGTCCACTAATACTTTGGTATTTGACTTCCGTATGACTGTACCTTGTATGGTTTTATTTGTGAGTGCATTGTTTGCATGTTTAGTGTTTATTACATATAACTGTTGTGTGGTATATTTGTTTATCATTTTTAAACGGTCAGTGTGATCACTGAATATACAGTATACTTTCTGTTATACTCAGAGTAAAATTTTGAAATAGATTTTTATTTTATTTTTATCTAAGTATATTTTAGTGAGCATGATGTTGTACATCTCTAAGTTAAGTATAAGTATTGCTTGTAAATAGCCTGGTTTGCACCAGCTGCGTGAGGAGATGTGGCGGCGACGTGAGGAGGAGCGACTACTGGAAGAGGAGGAGCGGTGGTACTGGGAAGAGCGGAGAAGGTATGAAGAGGAGTGTGAATATCTCGACTGGTGCCGCCGTTATCCTAGAGGTCCTCCTGGACCTCCGCCCATGATGCCGCCTGGTATGCCAAGACCGCCGTTCATGCCTGGAATGCCTCCAATGATGGTAAGACTTAATATCTTATTTTTGGAATAAAAACAGTTGTTAATGAACTTGATAATTTTGGATTAAACAGAATACTGTTTTGAAATTAGGAATATACAGGCTCACCTTGCAAATTTGTGTCTTGGAAGTCCATTTTTCCACAAATCTGTGCATTTTCATGAATGTTTTCCAATGACTGTTTTTTGCTTGTCTGTTTTTTTTTTAGAACAAAAAATATCTTTAAATTTAAGTTCTTCTGAAAATGCACGAATCTGTGGAGAAGCGGAGTTCTTCAACACTTATTCCATTCTATATAAATGATGTGGCTTGATTATAAAGAAAATATAATATAAAACTATAAAACAAGAAAAGTGAAGAGCATGGATGGGTGTGTGTGTGGAGGCAGTGGGTTGTAACTGTTGCTGTGCTCTCCCACCCCCAATGTGACATCACAGTATACACACAGCAGCCACATATCTGTGAGTCAGTTGGTTGACTGCCTCACTTAATTGGTTTGTGTTGCCCAGGTGATGGTTTGACTGCAGAAGGAGCTATTTTTTGTACATAAAATATGTACTATTGTATTTTATGATATTCCTTGTATAAATTTGATTCTCTATCAGTAATTTTGGTCAGTTTTTTGACATGCAATTTGAATTTGTTTCACATTAGACCAACCTAGTACTCAGTAAATCATTTAACTCTGAATACCATTTATATAGAGCAGTGGTTCTTGACCTTTTTAGGGTCGCGCCCCCTATAGCAGTTGGTCCTCATCTGCACGCCCCCCCTCCTTCCTTCATATAAAATTTTAAAATCATGATCATAAACACCACCACCACCACCACATGGCCAAAAACATCACTCAAAGTAGACAACTCGTGATTTTGAGTTGGCAAATTTCATTCTCGTTATTAAAACGAAACAATTAGCATTCTTTTCAATTGATATAAGTAATTATCATTATTGTTCGTTCATAAAAAGTCTACCCTACATCATAGCTCAATTGAAGAAAGAAATGTGTGAGTGTGAGAGGTAGAAAGTTGTCACGGACGGACGTCGCGGGCGACTGGCACTGGAAATCATCTCAGTCAGTGTTGACAATTTTTCAAATGTGAATTATCGTACTGGAGCCTCAAAATTATCGTTTATTCATCAAATTATTGTACACTTACCGACATTATTACTAGTTTAATTCAGTCACTTTTAGTGGAATTTTACATTTTAATTGACGTAGTTATCATTTACGACATTTTGAAGTATCTGTGGTGAAGGAGAACCCCTCCACCCCCTAAGAAAATCCAAATAAGGTCATACACACACCTGTTAAGGCCCCTCATTATTTTTTGCTCTGGGTCCCCCCCCCCCGGAAATTACTCTGTCCTTAGGGGGCGTGCCCCCCCCCGGTTAAGGACCGCTGATATAGAGTTTAATGTATTAAAAAACTTTCCAATAAATATGGCATTGTGGTTTAACTTTGAAACAATAAATATTTAGTTTTTCAACATATGATTTGCAAATTTTTCTTTTTAATGCTTATCTCTCAAATCCATGCCTTTTGAAAATTTGGCCACTGGGATACCAATTAGCCCAAAATTTCAAGGTCAGCCTGTAGAGTATTTTTTTTTATTTCATTTATTATTGTCTTGCTCTATATAGGGCTTAAATTTATTTGATCTTTACATAAACAGTACTGTATATCTCGCCCAAATGTGTAGGCAGAATTATCCAAATACTCCCCAGAATTACTGTTTTTTCTTTAAGAACATTCTTGGATTACCTGATTAGATTTTCTGCCAAATTTATTTTGGCACTAGTGTAGTGGAGGCATGTGCTTTTGCTTTAGTGTGGCCTAATCTGTATCAGCTAAAAAGATATTGACTGGATCGCATTTTTCAAAGGTGAAAGAAAGAGAATGAGGGGTCATGCCTGTGTGGAGACCCTGGAATAAGGATTTTAACTATCACATAAACTGAACCACTCGGAGAATTATGTGAGCTTACTAAAGTCTCTTTACTGTGGTAAATTGAAATTTTTATCCATGACCACAAATTTTTATTTTGGTGAGTGGTATCCCCAAAGTTTTCCATTTTGTGAGGAAACCTAAAAGACCCCTTTAAATTTCAAAGTGATCACAAGAATAATTAAGAAAATTTGGTGATTTGAAGAAAAGGAATCTTAATGTTAACGTTCAATATATTTTCTGACAGCCAGGTTCGAACATGCCAGATTGAATTGATAATGATGTATTTTATTGTATTATATTGACTTAGTAGAGACTTTTCTGTTTGAAAATCTGTTATTAGCTTTTTGCTACTTCAATCTCCTTTCTCAGCTTCATTATTTTATCATGAAGGTTATTATTTACCCAAGCTCTCCATAGGTTAGATAAGACATTCACACTAAATTAAGTACTGTATTGGTTTGCACATGTCTGAAGGGAGGCCATGTCAGGGTAGTTGGTTGGCTTTGGTCATTTGGTGGAAGCATCATGGGACCAGAAATTATGTTGGGGGAGAGGGGGACTACAGTATTTTTTATATTTTTTCCTTGTGTTTCTTTTGTTTTGTGCATCACAGTGTTTGTGATTTACGTTCTCTCAATTTATGTTGTATATCCAGTTAGTAAGTGATGATACCTTTTTATTTTATCTCCTCTTGCATTTGTGCATTCTTGCCTTTTGTTTATTCCTTCTTATTCCCAGACCTCATACTGTATGTACGTTTGCTAACTGGGATGTATTCCGGAAACCAGAACCACCGTGTTTGAGTGTAAATATCCTTCAGTAATGGGAAAGTTTTTGTATAAACAAAGTGAGAGTAATTGAAGTACTTTTTAATTGGATAGTCTTCAATATTAGGAATACTTTTGATTCAGTTTTATAGAATCCAAACCATAATAGATTATTTAGTAAGTATTTCATGAAATATTTTAGCAAGATTCACCTTGGAAGGCATATGGCAAGAAAAATTTGGGAGTAAAGGCTGTCTGGGTGCATTTATTCAAGGTCTATGTACTCTTCTGGTTGTTGATTCTGTAATTAATTTTTTTGCAAACAACCATAGGATGTTTGTGTTGGTATAATATATTTATTGACTCGATATATTATATAAAAAAATTGATTGGTATGGTATTTTATGTGTGAATGTTGCAAATCCCTCATTTTGTGTGTGATTGTGTTACCAAATTTATCAGATTAGGATCATAAGCAAGTTTTGAGTTAAAGCAAAGTGCCACTGTATAAAATCATTGGTTTTGCATGTGAGAATAAGCCTGCCCCTCTTTTCCCAACTTTATAATTGAAGTTTTTATTAATTCAGACCTGGAGTCGTGTGTATGTCTGGGGGGTATGGCACAGAGGTATGCAGTAGCTTCCAATTCCCAGTAACTCTCCATTGTAAAGTTCTCATACATATAAACATTTCTCCTCCCAAAGCCTATGCGCAGACCAGATTCTAGTGATGATCGCCATGTTCTAGCAAAGCATGCAGAAATATATCCCAAAGAGGAGGAGCTCGGGGCTATCCAGAAGATTGTGTCCAACACAGAAAAGGCTCTGAAAATGGTGTCTGACTACTTGGCAGAGGTAGATGCCCCCAAGGAACAGCAGGTTAAGCCAAAGGCTAAAAAAGAAGTAAAAGAAGAAGATCCTAAAGGAGATGATGACAAAAAAGATGGGTAAGTTATTAGTATTTATTATAAGTGTATAAAGGTTAACCTACAGTAAGTTATTTAGCTTCGTAGAATTATAAGACGGGTTAATTCTCTTTGTATAACACGCACAATATGTTTGGATGTGTTACGAGAATGAAGAGTAAAAGATGTGAGAATGTATATATAATTCAAGTTGGATGTTTGGAGAAAAAGAGGCCAAGGAGGAGATTAAGGATGGGGGTAAAGGATGTACAGTATAAGAGTTGAGAGGACTGGGCATCCAGGAAGCATCAGGATATAATAGTTACTAGGGAAGGACTGCATATCTAAAACGTTATAGGGCTAAATTAGATATAGGACATTGTTGTGGAGGGAGAGCGTCATAACAAAGCATACCAGGATAGCAAAAAAATACATGAATGACCACAAGTGAAGAGTGTGTTTTAGTGCATTTGCCAGGTCTTACACACCACCTTAAATTAAACAAGTTCTTGAGAATATCCTCCAACATTGATTTTGAATCTGGTAACACAATAAAGTGTGTAGACTGTGTATGGAGGGGGGGGGGGTAGGGGGTTGGAGACTTAAGCCGCCATAACACGAGCACATTTATGAGCAATTAATTGAAGCGACTTTGGGAGCAGAAATTGAGCAATTTTTTCCAAGTGTTGTCATGGGTAGTCTCTGCTCCAATTGGTACAGTAAGAAAAAACAGGTGAACGTTGCTCTCTTTGGAATTCTTTTTATTATTAAAAATAAAAACGAGAGAAATTTAATAAGAACGATTGTGGTTGGGAAGGAGGACTGAAAGTGTTCATTATAAACTGGTTGTGAACGATCATAGCTACAGTAGGGAGGGCTCCAAGTGTGTGTGGACTGTGAATTGCTGTCGCACTTGTGTTTTGTAAACAAACATGTCAAAACGGTATCCAAATTATAAAGTATAAAGTATATACTTTAAATATATATATTTTTCTTCTGTTTTTAGTGAAAAGAAGGAGGATGGTCCACCTCGAATGCTGAAGGGTGTGATGCGAGTGGGTATTTTAGCAAAAGGACTCCTGTTGCGAGGAGACACTAGTGTGCAGTTGGTGGTGCTCTGTGGAGATAAACCTACACGGACTCTATTAGACAGAGTTGCAGATAATCTCCCAAAACAGCTAGCGGTGAGTTAGAGTTCTTGTGCACTTGATGCCTCTCAAATTTCACAAACCATTTTAGGAGTGACATAGTACAACTTCACACTGGTTGGTAGTGATTGTGAAACACACCTGTGTACATGAGGTTATTCACATGTTTAACGTGCTACCACCCAACACATTTGCTGTGATTAGAACCTTGTCTCCAGATATATGCATATGGTTAGTTAGCTTTATAAACAAGTTCATGGATGTGCATACTTATTTATCTTCACATTTGCTTGTGCCCTTGCACTTTGATATACATTTGAGGGTAGTTGGCTGTTCACACTCACAGATTTGTTCACCTAATATGTACACTGCACCCACAGAGAGATGCTTATGTTGTATCCACATGTGGATGATATATTCTGCTTTCTATTACATACCCTAATGATACTATACATGTGAAGATGTATTCCAAGATATCCACCTCTGTGTTGGGGAGAAAAGTTCCCTCCCTGTGGTGAAACAGTCTCTGAACTGACTTACCCCGACTGTTGTATCTCATGTCGGGTCAATGCTGCTTCATTTTGGGCCGTAGAAAACTTTTGAACCCTGACTGTAAATCCATTAAAAAAAATCATGTGGCTGCCAGCAGATTGATAAATACTCACAGGGGAAGATATGCATGTGCAGTGAATCAAGGCAGGTGAGTGTTGACACATAAAAGCACCTATTATGAATACTTATTACACCCAGGCATGTACAGCTTTGTTATTAAAGTTAACTTTAATAACAAAGAATGGAGTTGACATTTTGTTGTCTTGTTTCTGATTATTTATGAGAGGATTTCCCCCTTTATTATTTATTTGTATGTGTTTTGTGTGTATCCTAAGGGCAAACACAAAGGGAATATACATTTCTTTGCACAAAAGTAATCCCCTGGACACCCTCCCCCCCCCCTCCTCATGACAGCAAATGTTATTCACAGCCATTTTGAGAATCTATCACACACACACACCGAATTTTAAGGGCATGCAGTATACACTTATCTTTCTGAATTGTATACTGTATATATATTTTTTTTCATTCAGCTGCTAGGTATGCCATTAGTGAAGCGCAGTTAGTTGAATGTTTCATCATAGTATGATATTTAATCATTTGCATCTTGCACATTTACTTTCAGGGCTATGAATATGTTGCAAAGTGAATCAAAACATTTCTCGTTGATTTTGCAACATGAATGATTGTTTCTAAATTAATTTTTATATGGTATATAGATATTTTTCAACTATATCTTTTATGTGCTACTATTGGTACTACTATTTCTTAATTGCATATTCCTCCTACTTCATTGGACACATTATAAACATTTAACAACTTACATGCAATGTGATTGTCAGTAACTAGGATGTAGGTGTTGTTAAATGGATATTGGATATATATTTATTGTTTCCCAGCCTCCAGTTACAAATTTTACCACTATTGGTTCAAGGCAACTTTTGAGTTATAATACAGTATAGTCTACCTATTGTAGGGGTTGACAGCAGTAATATTTCTTTTAATTGTTTTAGGTGGTGGCACCGGAAGACAAGTATGAGATACAGAGAGTCGTGGAAGAAGCAGCATTAGTTGTACAGAATATTGGAGAGCAGCGGATTTCGGTGAATGTGACCCTAACTTCTCCCATTATGAGGGAACAGCTTCTTCATGATGGAGGTAACACAAACAGGCAAAAATCATAGCCTGATTGTCTACAGAGACAGGTTAAGAAGGAAGTCTTTTATATGGATTGAGTAAATTATTCTGTCTTCAATTTTTTTCCTAATCTTTTTCTTTCATTTAAACTGATTTTTCAGTATGAATCTCTCCCTATCAATTTTTTATCACTTTTGTTTCCCTTACTCCCATTCATCTTAACAGAATATCTCAGTATCCATTGAAAGACTTTTCTAACTAGGGGAAGTCAAGGTTTTCATCACAGAGCACTATACTCTTTTTCATGTTGAACTGAGCAAAATTATTGACTATTTGTGATCTCAAGTAATTGTGATGAAAATGCTACCAAGACTAGCCTCTTATACTGCTTAACATGGAGACCAGGGGACACAGTGAAAGCAATATTATGGACACATTGTTTAGTAGGCCCTGTTTTGTGACCAACTTAATTTTTTTTTTATGTAAATTAAGCATTGCTGGCCCCTGGTTCACTAAGTGATAACTTTCCCCTCTCTGTCTTGATGGTCATCTGTAAATGGAATGAGAAAAGGGCCATATAAAGAGACACTGGACAAGAGAATTACGTTCTTGCAGTCAGCTTTTGACCTCAATCTAAACTGTACTATACTTTTTTCAGTTAAGTCTGTGCCTTGACACCAGGCATGAACATTGTGGCTCTCTTGTACTGCAGAGGGGAAGAGTTGCCCATTTGCCACACCTGACCCAATCTCCACCATCCCTGGGAACACAGACCTAGAGCAGTCTTAGCTGTCTTATTCTTTATTTTTAATTAATACTTGTCAGTAGCTACCATATATTGTACTCAAATTTCTTTGCTCAATATTTGCCAAGGAATCTTACACATAGCTTTGAAATATTAAATTATTTAAAGAAAAGCACTCGGTTATAGACTGCCTGGCTTCCTGTTTACCCTATGCCTACACCGTCATGGTGCTAGGCTGTTGTGAAGTTTACATGTGCAGGCAGAGGTGGTGGGTGGTGAGAGGACGATGGCAGGTGGGTGGGTGTGGCGCGGGTGTGTGACGGAAGCTGTGTTGTTGTATTTTAGACTCCCAGGTGACCGCCGCCAAGGATCCTCCAGATGTGCTCGACAAGCAGAAATGTCTGGACGCTCTTGCTGCCCTCAGACATGCCAAGTGGTTCCAGGTTTGCAACCCGTTCATCTGAGGGTTAAACTAGGGTAGGCTGTTCCTTCCATTACTTTGAATAAATGTGAAGGAGCAGGTTAGCCTAGCCTCCCTCAAACTTTTCAGCCTTATGGAGATGTGTGGGTGGGTTGGGTTAGAAACTGATAGGCTAGTTTTAGGTCATGTCAGGTTTTTGCCTTTACTGTGCAACCTTGATTAACTGCCACCTGTTTGTTTTTATAATGCACATTCTGGAAATCAGCATGGATGGAGACTTAGCAAGGTTATGTACCAGAAGATCCTCATGCTTTTGGCAATAATTGTGCCTTTCTTAGTTTTGATCTTTCTCATTTTCAACTTGCTGAGTTGGTCATTTTCATGCTGATTTTCAGAGTGTACTCAATCTTTCACAGCTGCCAGTTTGTAGGGTTTGGACAGTGATGGAAAGAGCCTGTATTTCATTCATATCATGGTGAATTTTATTTTATTTTTTGTTTTTCCTTTAAATTTCATGATCAATCTTTAGCTAGGAAAAGAAGAATCTATTGCCCCCCTTAACTACTCCCTGATTGTGGTTGGTGTGCCGTGAGGTAGTGATGTTTTGACCTACTACCTTTCACCTCATCGGTATATGAGGCAAGATAGTAGAATCCCTTTTCCCCAAAGATGCCCCTTATCCCTGCCCCACCCCACCCCTTTACAGCTACCTCACAGCAATACCCTTTTACCCATTCATGGAGGTGTCTCATTGTGGGCTTAGCCTACAAGAAAAAGCATGAGGCTGGAAAGTACAGGAGGACTCTGCTTCGTTATGGAAAGGGGCTGTACATGGTTCCAGTAATGGTGTGTCTTGCGCCTTAGTAGTTTGCTATCAGTATAACAGCAGTGGAGCCTTTGTTTTGTGGAGTTTCCAAGCAGAGTTCATACAAGAACCTGGTTCAACATAACTTTTAAGTCTATATTGTGCTGGCTGTAGTGGGTGCATGGAGTGAAAGGAGTATACAATGTCTGTTCTATTTCATCTCTATGCACTTGTTAGTACAAGATGGGCAATATATCCTGTTTTTATTTATAATTTAATTGCACATATTTAGGATTCAAGATTTGTGAAATGGAAAGAAAAATAGTAACTTAATTGCTTAAACTTAAATTGTTTTCCCTGTCATAGGAGCTTCATTTTCTTTGTGCCTTCCGGTTCCTCTATGAGATATTTGGTTGTTTGTAAATGTGCATCAAGTGAATAATTAATGCCCATCTTGGACCAACCAGCACTAGTAGGTTCAATGTCGTTATTTACAAACATGATGTCCCTCAGGCTAGAGCCAACGGTCTTCAGAGCTGTGTGATGGTGATAAGAATTCTCCGTGACTTATGCCAACGGGTACCGACCTGGGGACCACTGAATAGTTGGGTAAGTACAGCACAAGTATTTGGTCATGTACAGAGGTTTAGAGATAATTAACAGTACTTGAGTCGGTAGATATGACCTGAACTTATTGTAACTTGAAAGTTGTTATTTACAGGAGACAAATAATTTGAGGTGTTTGAATTCAGAATTTTGTGTATACTGTTAACACTTTCCAGCAAACAATTTGATGATATATTTATTAGTGTGAAGACAAATTGTTAAACATTTGAGGGGAATCCGAATTGTGAACAAATGTTTAATAAGCGAAACAAATTATGGTCTGTAATCAAGTACAGTATAAGAATGAAATTACCCAGTTGCTGTTAGGTACAGTTATTTGTAACGATCTCACTTAACCTACTAAAGGTATAATTTTCCATTGAGTTATAGCAATAAAGACAAAAACTAATGTCTATTTGGTAAAATCTTCAGTTGCCTTTCAAGTCTTATTCTGCATAATATATTTATACAGTAGAACATCGATTTAAAGCGATTCCACTTAAGATTATTGATTTAAAGCGACACCCACAACTAAGGACAATGTTTTAATTTAAAGCGAATCTTTCTTATTTTGCTCGAGTCAATCTGGTGCATCATATTTTATAATTCGCGCCAAATGTTTCTCTGGGCACGCTACACTGTCCCAAGGGCAAAGCTGTACTTTACATGTACCCAAAATAATGTACTAAATGATTACTAAAATTTTTGTCGAGTGCAAACTATAGCATGATTATATTCAAATTAATCACCATGTTATAAGAATTCCAGCAATGTAAATTATATTCTCCCTGGTCACTTCTGACATTTTATAACCAAAAAACAAAAACTCAATTTAAAGGACATGAATAAACAAATAAATACTTCACTAGACCTTCAGCGTCTGTCAAACATGTCACTTCCCCCCTTCCAGCCAGGGTTGGGTGGTTATAGGCTTACAGTTTTTATCTTATATAATATCACAGTCTAAAGTTAGGAGAATATAATTTGCATTGCTAGAATCCTTGCAAATCAGCGAATAATTTGAATATAAATGTCATATATTTTGCACGAGATAAATTTTTTAACCCTTTGTAATAAAATTAGAACTAAAATTTGTATATCTAATGCGAACTATAGTATGTTTATATTTAAACTAATCACTATCTTATAAGAATTCCAGCAATGTTAATTATACAGTACTTTCCCAGGTCAGTTTAGTGCCGTTTTATAAGAAAAAACTTAGTCACTTTTAAGTACAAATAAATAAATAAGTACTAGACCTCGGCATCAACTGTCAAACATATCACCTCACCTTCCCCCCATCTTCCCATCAGCTGATGGCTAGTAAACAGACCATTTCACGTCTCATAACTTTAGCCGTGTTGATTTATGAGAGTTTGTTTAAACATTATACTACAAAAAACAATGTTTTGTTTATTCTAGGAGATGGGCTGAGGTGCATCTGGGTAGACTCAGTCTTTTTAGTATTTTGTGATTCTCTCAAGTCCCAAACTAAATTATTCCATTGAAACAACAGTTTGATTTAGTGCGGACTCGGTTTAAAGCGACCTTTCTTGGAACGTATCTCGTGTTATATCGACGTTCTACTCTATCTTGACAGATCTTCTCAAATGTATTTCATTAACTGTGACTGGTGTTCTCAACCTGTCAGACAATTCCTTTATATCGTTGAGGTAGATTAGATTGTCGAAAAGTTGGCCGAAGTTCATGGTAGTGTAATGTTGGAAGCAAACTCTGGAGGTTATATCAGTAGTGTCTGGGATAACCAACACAACGTTTCATGACTCGTGTCACTTCGTCGTCAAGTGTAAAGAAATACATCAAGGTATGGACATACAGTACAGTAATATCTCCGATAGCCGGAATTGAAATTTGCTCGGAAAATTATTCCCAAAGCCGGAATTTAAAAAAAAATACGGCTTTGGGAACAAATTTTGAGGCTGAAAATCAATAGCATTTCCTGAAAATGTCTAGAATATAGACAAAAGGATTTTGGGGGGGCGAGGGCTGACCTGACTCATTGTCTGGTGGAGGATTAGTGGTCTCATATTACTGACCTGATGGAATGTCAGGTCACCCTTTCTCTTGGGTGGGGGATTTGTGGGTCTCATGACCTGTAGATGTCTTGAATAAACACTAAAGCTAATGTATTTTTGGGAGATTGTGATAAGTATCAAGTATAAATGAACAAAGTTGTATCCCTTCTACATTACATTTCATAACATTTTAAAATATGGAGTGAGAAAGCAAAAATGTGTTGGTGATTAGAGAGATGGATTGGAAAGGAATGGTAACATGCACCAGTGTTGCCAAGCACTAAGCTCCTCCACAGCTGATCTTTTAACCCACCTCTATGAGTCACTCAACAAGACCCTCACTGGATGCTTGTTGTCTTAATTCCTGTGCTACACACACCACCACCCACACTGTGGTACACACACCACCACCACCCACACTGTGGTACACACACCACCACCACCCACACTGTGCTCCACACACACCAACACCACCACCACCCACACTGTGCTACACACACCACCACCACACACTGTGCCCACACACACCACCCACACTGTTACACACACACTGTGCTCCACACACCACCTGTGCTACACACACACACACCAACACCACTGTGCTCCACACACCAACACCACCACCAGCCACACTGTGCTACACACACCAACACCACCCACACTGTGCTACACACACCACGTCCACCCACACTGCTACACACACACCACCACCAGCCACACTGTGCTACACACACCAACACCACCCACATTGTGCTACCCACACCAAAGACATGCATGACAATGTGTTAGTAAACACAAGGTAATTGAGAACTAATCGTAATGGTTCTTTATTTATTAACGACATTTCTCAAATTGAACGGTTACATCTCAAAACAATAACCTATGCTCCTAGCTTGTTAATTGGGGACCATGACTCACAATACACTCAAACCTAATAGGTACTCACGTTATAGCTGCCATATAAGGTGACACCCAGGACACAACCACACTTAACTCTGACCAAACACAGACTCCGCCCTTCAAACTGCGTCAGCCCACAAGGGATGCCACAACTTTCATGAGGTCATGCCTCATAGGCTTTCTCATTGGTTGAAGACAGACCTAACGCCTTCATACTATTGGCTTATAATTGGCGGGAACTCTCAAGTGGTTGGAAACGCTTGGCATTGTTACACACACCAACACCACCAATGCATCACACACCCCCCCCCTGCCCTCCCTCCCTCCCTCCTACAACCACCCACACACAGCCCCTACAACCACCCACACACAGCCTCCTACAACCACCCACACACAGCCTCCAACAACCACCCACACACCCTCCAACAACCACCCACACACCCTCCAACAACCACCCACACCACACACACTCCAACAACCACCCACACACACCCTCCAACAACCACCCACACACACCCTCCAACAACCACACCACACACACACACTCCAACAACCACCCACACACACCCTCCAACAACCACCCACACACACCCCAACAACCACCCACACACACCCTCCAACAACCACCCACACACACCCTCCAACAACCACCCACACACACCCTCCAACAACCACCCACACACACCCTCCAACAACCACCCACACACTCCAACAACCACCCACACACACCCTCCAACAACCACCCACACACACCCTCCAACAACCACCCACACAACACCCTCCAACAACCACCCACACACACCCTCCAACAACCACCCACACACACCCTCCAACAACCACCCACACACACCCTCCAACAACCACCCACACTCACCCTCCAACAACTGCCCACACACCCCAACATCACCACCCCCCTCCACACACACACACACACACACATTCCAACATCACTCACACACCCCCATCTATGGAATTCAGACAACAAGCATAAGGAGTGACATTCTTATTGTATGACAAACATCTTTGTGTGTGACTGCCGCAAATTAAATCTCAGCTGTTGAGGAGCAACACTCATTTCCACTCCAACTCTCTAATCAACTACACTTTTCTGCTTTCTCACTCCATATTTTAAAATGTTATGTAACGTAATGTTGAAGGGATACAACTTTGCTCATCTATACGTGTACTTATCACAAACTCACTAAAAATATTTGAGGTTTTGTGTTTATTCAAAATATCTTCAGCTCATGAGACCCACTAATCCACCCTCCCAAGAAAGTGACCTGACATTTCATCAGAAGGTGAGTAATATGGGACCACTAATCCCCCACCCTACCTCCACCTGACAGACTCAGGTCAGGTCAGTTACAAGAGACCCACTAATCCCCCACAGCTCAGTGGGAGTGAGAAATAAGTCTGCTGTAACACACAGCTTCTTTCATGATCAAATCCTATAGATTTTTAATTTTTAAATATATTTAATCAAACTGTTAGATAAGAACATAAGGAGTCTGCAATAGGCCGGTTGGCCTGTGCATGGGAGCTCATGTCGAGAGTTACTACCACTCTCTATCATCCATGAATATCCAGCCTCCTTTTGGAACTTTCCAGCATTCCAGCACTTACTACAAAGTTGCTAAGCTTGTTCCACCACCCTATTTGTAAGCCAGTTCCTTCCTATCTCCCTCCTAAACGTAAACTTATCCAACTTAAATCCCTTGTTCCGAGTCCTATCCTGCTCAGATATTATAAGAACTTCATATATATCACCTTTACCGGTATTGATTCCTTTCACCCACTTAAATACTTCAATCATATCTCCCCACACTCTTCGTCTTTCTAGGGAATGCAAGTTTAGTTTCTTTAACCTATCCTGATATGGAAGGTTTTTAAGTCCCGGAATCATGTTTGTCATTCTTCGCTGCACCGACTCCAGTGAATTGATATCCTTTCTATAATAAGGGCACCAGAACTGAACCGCATAATCGAGGTGCGGCCTGACTAGCGCAAGATATAGTTGCAATAAGACCTCTGCACTCTTATTACTTAAACTTCTAGATATAAAAC